ATACCCGCACAACCCAGTCCGATCCAACCCAAACTATACTGTACCATACCTACCATATGATTCCGCTCCGCTCCACAGTACGGTACTCGAGTACTTCCAAGACGCCATACAGCGAATTAACTTTGAATCTAAACCAACGCGCGATCAGCGGGAGCGAGCCCTTTCCCGTCGAGTTAAAAACTGTTAACTTACTCTTCCGCAGCAGCAGACCACCGGCAAACTCACACCCGGTAAACGAAGCTTACCGACACCGGTAGCCTAACCCACCCGATAAGGTACCGGGTCCCTCAGTCTGGCAAAGTGCAAACCCACTATGGCACTTACAGCCAACTCCAACCACCGACGAGATAGAAAAGGCTGGAAAAAAATGGCGAAAAAAAAACATTCAGGCCGGCAAACTTATTGTAGCATCATACCAGTATTCACCTTCACTGCCCGCCCCGCCGCGGCCGGGATTTCGAGTCTACACCGTACCGTATGACTCCTTCATATGCCTTGCTCCATCCAGGACAGCATCCGGGCCAATATTGCAAAGTACCGCACTCATGCGAGCAAGCAAGCAAGCAATGAGCTGTGCCAGTTGCGACAACAATTCCGCCCGCAGTCGCTCATCGGTGACCAGGCGCCCACATTTTTCAAACATGTCGTATCCTACATACCTTGCCAGCCAGAGAGCTAGAGGGGGCGTCTGACCCTGCCTTCTAAACGCAAACACAAAAACAAAAGATAAAAAAGACACAAGAATTACTGGCTGATTGACATCTTTACGGCCTGATATTCCCCTTTTCCCATCCTGATGGGTTACTGTAAGGAAACAATTTTATTCCAAACGTGATTTCCTACTCGTACTATGCAGCATATCATTATCGATAACACCAACGCTGCCTCCTGGAATCATTTCCAATCGTGGTCGATTCCTCACCGGCGTAATTGTAATCGTACCCGAAACGAGGAAGCACAACACTCTTTCTCTATTTAACCCCACCTCCTCTCTCTCCCTTCCGCCTTATAGATAATGTATTCAGCGGGAAAAAAAAAGCAACACAATACATCCTCCCGTGCTATACCCCGGACACCCCACCCCGAGCTACCACTCTGTCGCCTCCATACTACTCGAGCACCATAAAAATTCTTGAAATTCGCCATCTCCGGCACTCCCTTATATTCTCTGGATTCTGAGTCAAAGGCTCCTAAAAAGGACTAGCTTCTTTCCGGCATGGTATAAGATCGGCCCAGTGGACGTTTTGGATCTTGTTAACCGATATTTGCAATTCCATTAACATGTCAAACTAAACCTATCGTGGGCTGACGGCTGACTTCCGCCGATAATCTGATTGCGAATTTCAAGAGTTTTTACGAGCACAGTATTGTATCATACCATAATAACCCTTACCACAAACCAACCGCTGAGCTCAGTTCAATCCCGCCCACGACCACAAGGCGATTCAAGCTCAAGTAAAAAGGTAGGTATCGATACTCGTAGCGGGCGGGGAGTATCCGAAAACAGGAGTCGTGAGTTTGTATGGGCGCTCATAGGTACAGATTTTCTGACTATGATACCGTATTATATTTTGCGAGTCCTTGTTTCCGGGTACTTCCTGCCTGCTACGAGTGCCCTTTCCGCGCTTTGAAGTACCGGTAGCACCCTGTTGAGTGAAACCATCATTGACGGTCGAATTCCCAAACTCAGCCGCACCATGATTAACAAACCGATAAGCAAAAGTGTAGCAATAAAAAACACTTCTCCAGTCGATCCAGTTTTTCTTCTCCCCACCTTGCCTATCAAAGGGCAACGATTTCGAGGTGCAATAAAGAAAGAAAAGAAAGAGCACAACTTTTCCTTTGAGGCGACTTAGGAATCGAAAGATGAGACGAGGGTGATGGTCGGAATATAAATAAACCCACACATAAACCAGCACCTCACAGCCTCGCTCGCTTCATGAAAGTAGTGCCGTGGTGCTCTGCAAGAGCTTTCTTTCCTTTTCTTTTCTACTCTCACTTGCTCGATTACTCCACAACGCTCCAAGTTTGTTCGGCCAATCGTTAGGCGCCCGCGTCGCCGGGCCTGCAGCTGTCCGTCCCCCACACCATACAACTCGTCTAAACCGGCCAAACAAACATTCCTACAGACAGAAACTGAAAGCCGATCCTCACGATGGAGCCAGAAACCTTCGGATGAGTCCCGCTTTCCCATTTTTCCCGCACCTCGGTCGGTAACCCGCATCTCGGCTCATCGCATTATATCAAAAAAAAAAGCTCCCTTCAATTCCGATCACGTGAAATAATCCCTGTCGCTGAGACAGCTTTCCCAAAGACGCCAGGAGAACCTTTTGGGAAAGGATAGGAAGAACGAAAAAAACCACCACCCCGCCTGCCTCACATATCCATTGCCATCGTCCAAACCCAGCGTTAGCAGAAATACCCGGTGGGGGCTTCTTTGGGGAATATAATAATCTGGTCACCAAACAGCTATCGCCTTAAAGATCGACAGGGAATCGATTTACAACACCGAGCAAAAAAAAAACCCCATATCGGACACATGTATCTATGTGATTCAGCCAACCCCGGCGCAAGGGGTGGGGAAGGGTAAATCGGGCTACTATATGCGGCTAGTGAGTATTATCGCCTCCCACATGTGGAAGGGGCCGTTTCTTCCGGCTGTGATATTGAGTTGGCGGTTAGCACAATTATGATAGATAGGTTGAAGGCAATCTGAAGTGAGGCATAGGCTATACTTGCGCTCTCTCTTTGGCATACGTGTCAGGTAAGGTCAATTGAATGAGACCGTTAGATTATTATGTGGAAGATAGTGAGGAAATGAGGATAACTAAGGAGATTGTTAGAAGGAAAAAAATGGACAGAGAAGAGTACTTTCAACCCAGCACCACTGCGTAATATAATGCCCACCGATCTATTTATACCCCCATACCCGTTTTACCAATTCCCCAAGAACAAAAGCAGGCCAAACAAAGGAGATGAGACGAGACAACTCAAATAACAAAAGACGAAGAGGGAAGAGGTCGAAAAAACATCCCGAGATGGAGAGGTAGCTTTATAAAGCCATATCGTACTCCAAAGCGCTCCTCCAAGCGAAAAAAAAAAAAAACTTCGACCTCAATTAAAACGTGAGGTGCCAAAGACCAGGTAAGGAAGAAAGATCGGAAATGATCAACCATAAGATAAATAATCAGCACCATCAACCAAAAACACACAATCCAGTCTAACCAAGGTTCTGCTTCCGATCCAGACAAAATCCAGCCCATGCCCAAGATGCGAACAGCAGGAACCGGGCATCCACTAAGCATGTGAAAGTAGTCCCCCAATTGCTCAACGACCATTTCCCGATGGCAAGGGTGAAAAAAAAGAAGAAAAAAAACTCCGTCCACACCCAACCCAATCCCCCCCGATCATCGAGGGAGAAATATCAGACGGAAAACTCCTGCATATCCCTGACCACGATAGCCACAGAGGCCCTCTTCGCAGCTTCAGCAACGAGGTTCATTTCCTTCCTCAGGGAACTAGCCGGATCTTCGGGATTTCCGGAGCCAGAGGCGTCACCGACACCGGTCCAGGCGGGGGTATTTCTTGGAATGGACCCTCTCCTGCTCGTCGAAGTAGGGGTGGGGTTCGGGACGAGGAGGGTAGACTCGTTGTTTGTGTTGGACGAAGATGATGAAGACATTATGCCTGCGTGAATTGTCTGTGCCTTTTCTTTAAAAAAAAAAAAGGAAAAAGGAAAAATAGAAAAAACTCGCGTTATTGTAACGAACGGATGGATAGATGCCTGAGGCGAATTTTGTCGATACGATAATGTGATTATTCGGGAGTTTTTTTTTTTTTCTTTCTGGGGAGGGAGAGAAGATAACAGGTGTGCCAGTCGTGGTATATGAACGTATCTGGAAGGAAGTGGGTAGGTGAAAACAGTGAGGAAAAGTAAGACGGGTATGAAGATACTATGGGTGAGCGAGAGAAGAGGAATAGGGAAAAGAGTGTGAAGGTGATGTATGTAAACACAGGGAGGACTCTGGGGTAGAAAAGGTGTCGGGAAGAGAAGGGAGGACAAGGAAGAAAAAGAAGCTACGGTAAGGTCAACTTCGGCAGCTTAGGCTGAGCGAGGTTTGGGTTTGGCCGACTAGCCTAGGGTGTGGGAGGAATAACAAACTCTTATGAATATTATGATACCACAACCTCCAGGCTTCAAGGGCTCGATAATCTCCGTTTGCAGCCACAAACACGGATTCCAACGACGCCTGAAACCCTTTTCTATGGGGGAACAGATTGAGGCGAAAAAGGAGGAGGATACCGAACAGTTCATGTATCTAATAAAGTATTATAGCACAGTACCTACTATACGGCCTCATCCCCTTTCGCCAGGAAAGCGGTTAACGTTCAACTCTAATGTGCGATGAAAGGTTGGAGGAGATCCGGGCCGAGGAAGTACAATATACAAGTATCCTCAGAAACTCCACAACAAACCTGCTACCTAAAGTCTCGATAGAGCAATGAAGCACAAGACGGAAAGAGAGTTTTTGCTAGAGGGTGCGAATAAAGAATGATACTGTAATTAAAAAAAAAAATTCCCCATTCCTCAACCCCAATCGGGGAGTGTGGGGAATTCAAAAACAGCCGGTAACTCGGATGGGTCAGCTTTCTCACGCCAAATTGGGCACAATGACAGAAAAATGATGCTGCAAGGAGGGAGCTTGAAAAATAATCCATTACCGAATTATTACCAATTACAGAAACCAGAATCGGCCTTTTCGGCGAAAAGGTAAGGCAGCGAAAAGGGAAGGAAGGAAGGAAGGAAGGAAAGGAAGGAAAATAAAGAGGTCAACAATTCATCTACAGCAATCATCCCAACGCGTACTGCACCCTCTCACACTTGGCAAGCGGTATGCACCCATCTTCAGCTTCCGAGATCTGGCCGTTTGAACCACAATCCCTTCGTACTCGTACAGCGCAGCGCTCGTACGCTTTTAGGCACTTGAACTAACAACGCTGCTAACTGGAAGTGTGTGTGAGATCCGGGGACAGACGAAGGGATCACCTGCGGATCCTCCTTTTTTTCCGATATGCACCCCTACGGCCAAGGTAGTGGGGGGGGAGGGAGGAAGAGGACTACCGGTCTCACGACAACGAACAACGAACAAACAACGAACAACGAACGAGGAAACAGGCAATTGGCATACTCCCGTTAATAATCTCTCAATTATGGACAAGAGTGTGAGGATTGTGAGGAAGCTGGGGCGGTAGAGGCTAACTAAATACGGTCCGGAAAAAAAATCACAAAGAAATCCCAACGGCTCCGCGCTTGGGCCTATTGAGGTTTTGGGTGAGTTATCATAAGCCATAGTATGCAAATGCTTCCTCTTCCCGTTCGCACGGAACCAGCGCAACTATAATCAATTATCATATTATGAGAACGGGAGAAGGGGAGGGAAGGGAGGAGGATCATGGACACCTTCGAGGACATTGTTCACGTAGGCAACCCCCCATAAATTCCATTCACGATTACAGGTATTATATGGTCCCCGGAATAATGTGAGAAACAGAGTGGTGGGAGACGGTACCAATATTGTCATCCGCCCAAGAAAGAAAGGGAGGGAAAAGAAATAAATTTCAATGCAGTTGAATACGTTGCTGTAATTACAATGCGCGGTGGGGGGTCTTCCTTTCAGCACCATTCAGAATCTTCCACATACCCTTCGCTTCCACTTTTCTCCCTTCAACACAGTACTATCCCCATCCCTTCTTTGATGAAGCCCACTACCTCTTCTTCCCTTAGATTATCCCAACTGAATGTATAAGCCACCGGTATAGCTAGAACATATCATGGGCTGTCCATCACGTGCATCTCCACCCAGCCAGCCCTTGAATGCGGTTCTCATCCGCCGACGATATCCCATGCCGTACGTTCAGATAGGATCGACAAACCGCACCCACTATCGCCCTAACAACTAACCACCCCGTCGTATTTTTTGGTCAAAGAAAAGAGTTGGACAAGTCATGAGAACGAGGTAAAGAACAAAAGCACGTGCAAGAAATAAGAATGCTTAAAATATCAGTTTTTAGACCAATATATCGCTTCCCTACTTCTCTCAAGACATCACAAAGAAATACCGAAGCACCCTAACAAGAAATGGAAGAGGGAAAAAAAAAAAAGGCGAAAGCAGAAAACAAGACACCAAATCTGGCTCGCGAAATAAAAAGGAAAAAGGTATCAAAGAAGCACAATAGGACACAGGATCCGGGCGACCGAAGCAAATAGCCCCGACGACATTCAGTTGTCCAAGAGTAAAAAAAATACACAGACTATGCTAGAAACATAGAAATTGAGGGTAAACCGAACCACGACGTAAAATAGAACGAGAGTGTGATATGAAAAGCAGCGATACAGAACGGAGGTTTTAAGAAATAAAAGGTGATTTACGAAAGTAATATATCATGAGATCGGATATCAGAAAGAAGTCGATTCCGAATCCCAGCTTGCACAAGCGAAAATTTGCCAACCACGAGCGAGATGCGCACACACCGAGACCAAATCACCGGTGAGCGCTATTCGATACCGATGACACGCTAAAGCCAAAACGGACCATAAAGAGCCGGCCGAGCCGAGCAAAAGAAAATTAAACTTTGATAAAGTAAGAAATTATATCAGTCCACATTCTCGCAGATTTTCCTGGATGATGATGTCTGTTATATAACGTCAGTACAGATGGTATACGAGTCTGGGGTTATAAGGTTGTATCACCATTAACGGCTGCCATAACAAACCGAATTTGAGTGGTATCCGTTGCGCAAGTGAAATGAGTATATATCTGCTTAGTCTCAGATTGATTTAGGGAAACAAAACGGTTCAATATATAATCGCAAGCCGCGGAGTAATCCTCGCCTCCTATTACCTGATGTTAGTAGTGACCATTTTATATGATCAACTTGGTGTCGCAAACCTTCATAATCACCGAAGTAGTTCTTCATTGGACTGATGGGAAGCTTCTCGCGGAACCGATCAATCTTGTTCAAGAAGAGAATGATACTTGTTTTGATGAACCATCTCGAGTTGCAAATAGAGTCGAACAGGGTCAAGGCTTCCTGCATACGATTGACGGTTTCATCCTCAAATAACAGTTGGTCGTATTCCGAGATAGCGACTAGGAAGAGGATTGTAGTGACATTCTCGAAGCAGTGAATCCACTTCTTACGCTCGGAACGCTGTCCGCCAACATCAAACATGCGATATGTAAGATCTCCAATGATGAAGGTGGTCTCAGTAATACCAGTTGTCTTGACACGCGAGCGCAACACGTCTTGGTCATTAGGTAAATATTCAGCTTGCGCAATTCTGTCAATAGAATCGAAGTAGCTGTCGCGATTGTTAGCCCTCTCTCCAATAACCAATTGCAAGGAAAAACACGTACTACTTGGCGGAGTCGTTTAACTGATACTCTCTCGATCGTCGGAAGCATTCCTGCACCCCACGATCGGCCCACAGTGTCTTGATAGCATTTCCAACCTCTGGTGGTAAACTCTCACCCTCAATCTGTGTGGGTTGCATGAAAATGGTCTGAACATGGTACTCGGCCCGGCTGTCATCCAAAGGTAACTCCAGCGATTCCATAGCCTCCAAGATTACTCTCATCGATTGTACTGTATTCGAGAAAATGATCTCCTTGAAAGATTCGCATTCATCTCGACTATAGCCCCCCTCGTGGATGAGTTTCATCTGTTTTAGGATGGTAGACTTGCCGGATTCACCAGCTCCTATATAAAAGACGCGTCTTAGTCTCAATAGTCGATAGAGATGAAAAGGCGCGAGGTGCGCAATAGGAGGACTACGTACCTAATAGGAGCATCTTTATCTCGTTCCTCTGCATCATCCTATCCTTCTTCAGCTGATTCTCGATCTCTTCATTCCTCTGCTTCCCCTCCTTCTCCTCGGTGCTCATTCCACAACCCATCTCGTCGTAATCCTAATAATGACAACCAGGCAAAGAGAGCAGCGAAGGAAACCTATGTGTCGAAGAAGTAACGACTAGTGAGAATAATATTAAAACGTGCGTTGAAGAACTGATTTGCAATGGAATGGCGCGTTTGTGAATCTCTTCGGGATGACGAAGCGGATTAGAACAAGATGAGTTTCTTTCTATTTTCCTCCGTCGACAAAAGATGGGAGGACGGATGGGTTAGATGAACGGACGATTGGTGGGGAAAGGGGAATAAGGAGAAGGGAAGCGAAAGTGGAAGGGCTAATGTGCAAGGGGGATGGGGCTCCAGGGGGGCTGCTGCACGATTTCCTGTTAGGAAATTGATTTTAGCTCGCCTTGGCACGACCCGATCCGAACGGGTGAATGCGATGCGGAGAAGGAAAGGCTGCGTCTTGAGGATGCGTGTTTGCAACTTCGAGAAGCCTTCCGTCGCTTCTTCTTGTTCAGCTCCCTTGTACTGAGGACCTCCCACAATGCTGGACTGACGGACGAGGATGAATCTCGACAAATGCGCACGGATAGAGTAGGAGGTAGAGGAAAGGAAGGAGAAGGATTGAAGGGGAGGTGTGGAAAGAGAGGATTGATTTGTAAGGATTATAGGGTAGAGTTCCACCAAACAGAATAAATAAGGAAATGCAAGTCCGCTTTCCAAAAGGTAAAAAAAAAAAAAAAAAAAAAAAAACGTACCAAAGATGTACAAGTGATAAGCCTTACTCCGGGTTGCAGGCAGCGAACCGTTGAATGAGATTTTTCTCCCTTGGAAGAATCGAAGGTCGATATCAAAGATTTTCTTTCTGGAAGATTTTACTCTCCAGTTGTCCCGAGTGTTGAAATTACGTGGAGCGAATGTTTTGGGGGAAAAAAAAAAAGAGGGTGGAGAGTGGGTTGGCTCTGGGATGGAACTTGGAGTACAGATGGAACTTGGAGTACACACACACAACAAAGAGCGGCAGCAGATAGTGAGGCAGAAGGATGGGCAGGTAGGGCTCAGCCTTTCGCGCAAGAAAGAAAAAAAGAAAAAAAAGAGGAATATGAAGGTGAGAGCGCACAAAAGTCAGATGGGCGAGCACACAATTGTCAAAAGACGTCCAACAATTGAGAAGAGTAGGCGTGAAAGAGGCGGGGGGGGTGGAAGGAATTTGACCGCGAAAGGGACAAGAGGGAAGAGCCGGAGGGGGGGAAGAAGAAGGATAGTGGAGAAGGTCGAGATAGGTTGTGGTGATGTGGTGATTTCCCTCGGGCTCGCGTTCCCTTCGGCTCTGGGATATTTTAGGGTGATTTGACGGACTGGTTTTCTAGTTTCTTAGAAGCAGGCAAGGGGGTGATGATGGATGGGGTTTGGGCTGCGAAATGTGTGGGTGGGGGGGAAGAAACGAAGGGGAGTGGAAAGGTTCTATGGTTCATTTCTTCTTCCTGGGTGCCCGCCAGTAGGGACGCTTCAAAGAGTGGAGTACCGCTGCGAGAAAGCCCTGGGAAAGAGCAGAAGTGCGATCGGGTAGGGGGGTCGCCGGCCAGTTACCTACCCAGACTGGTCTCATCACACCTCCCGACGTGCTTCCCACTGCACAGAATACGGTAATCATACACTGTATTGAGGCTTTGTGGCTGCTGCAGCTGGGAGTGCTGCATACAAGTTCTCGAGTATGATGCTCGTACTGTACTAGTACTCAGTAATCATCACTCTTCGGGGTTACCGTACTTTTCACTTCTACTGTTGCTCGGGGGTAAAAGAAAAAAAAAATCAAGTTGCCTTCCTCTCACGGCAGCCTGGCACAATAACCGGTAGCCAGCAAAGTTTGGCCACTAAACGGCAGCCATCGGAAGGAATCCGCTACCAGAGAATCCCCAACACTAGAGCAGGCACAGAAAGCCTACCGGTGCTTTACAGGCCTTCTCCCGCTTCGCCACTGCCTACAAACATGGAGTAGCACTCGTCCCTTAGACTGTTTAGCGTTTATATATTATAATATTATCAACCACTTGCGATTCTGCACAGCACAAATATGGTACAGTACCGGTACCGTACCGTAGCCCCCATACTTTACCCCAAAGCCTCCATTCGGGTTCAACAATCTCGCTCGGGTAGACGCATACCGTATGTACTAGGGGGTTGACAAAAGTCGGGTCCACTTCCAAAAAAGGTTGCGGCATTTATATGTAGTCTAAACCAGGTTAGGAAATACAAGTGATATCTGGTGAGAGCTTTCTAGTGTCGGCAAAAAGTCGGGTCCAGTGTGAAAGTCGGGAGTTCTACGAGTGATATCCGATGAGTATGAATTTTAAAGAAAAAAGGAAGCCTATATACAGAAATCGATATGGAGTTGCCCCCCCATTGGCATCAATGACAGCTTGTAAACAGTCCGGCATGGTTCTGATAAGGTTTTCTAACCGCTCAGTAGAAATTCCATTCCAAACCGTGTTTAGAGCATGTTCCAAAGTTGCCATATCACCAATTCTACCCCATGTCATGCCCAGCTCATTCTTCATATCTAGCCATAGTGCCTCAATCAAGTTCAAATCCAGAGATTGGGCTGGCCAACGGGTAGTTTCAACTTGGTTAAGATTCTGGTACTGAATGGCATATTTCTTGTGACCGGGCGCGCCATCCTCAACCACTGTCACCCACCCATATTCTTCACAACAACGATGCCAGAAGGGAACCAAGTGAGGATACATGATATTCCTCACATATAATGCAGAATCAACCTTAGCCTTACTTGGTATAAGAACTAACTTAGACCGCATTGTCCCACAAAAACTACCCCAAACCATCTTGCTCTCACGCCCAGATTCAAAAGTTTCATTAATGCTGTCAGCATGAAACTCCTCACATGCTTTGCATGTAACCCAAGGACGGTTCCCGAAGCCGGCGGTCGAAAAGGTCGATTCGTCTGTCCACAGCACACGGAGCCAATCCTCGTAGCTCCAATTCAATCGTTCATGACACCACACAACACAGAGAGGACGGCTTGCTGGTCGAATGGCAAATTTCCTGCGTGCAACGCATCGATGGTAGCCCATCGACTCCATCACACCTTTTACTGTGCGTGGACTACAGGCATAGCCCATCTCGAAACATATCTCATCCCAGCTAAGGTGCCGGGTTCTGGCGTCGCGTGTCACGAAGGCCTCCAACCGATGCTTTTCGACCTCGTTAAAGATTAGTGGACGGCCGGAACGGTGGGAATTCGAAGGTGTGCCATTTTCTTTGGCCCGCTTATAAATATATAGGTTTGTTAAATATATTTCACTATGGTAAGATTGGTATATACTGACCCGCTGGCATGTCCGACAATGAATACTCAGGTGCTGACCAATTCGGCTCCAATCCCATCCTGCAGTATCACGGAGTATAATAACTTAGATACGCTCATCACATGTAGTTTCGCGGTGCTGCACATCTGCTGGGTTCTGCTCGCGAGTTCCCTTTTGTTTCATACTTTTTTTTATATACTGTCTGTAGGGTTGGGGGGTTGGTGAAGGTGAATGTGACCTGCTAGTGGGTCTTTGTGCTGGGGTGGTAAAACGGGGAGTGCTATCCCGGAAGAGAAGACTTGTGTAACCGGACGCCAAATACCCTTACACCCGAGTACTGGTAGGCGCTTAAAAAAATCCACAGTTCCCCAGTTCCGAGTACTCGAGCAGCTGTCAATCGGTCTCACCACGATCGCATCTTCCTGTCAGAGCAGCGAAAAGACATGAAAGGAAAAAGAAAAGAAGGAAAAAAAAAGAAAAAAAACACTTTCTGTATCATATCCGAAAACCAACTAAGATAATAATAACAATAATGATACAAGTAATAAAAATTGGACATCACGAACTTTTCGCGCGAGCTACCGTACGAGTACTGTAACTTACAGTATGATACAAGGAACCAGAAAGAAAAGAAAAAAACCAGGGGGGAGGTGGTGCACGCACATCATTTCGCACGAACCGCTAAGATCCTGACGTTTTGCAAGGGAGAGCCTGTAGTGGCGTTTTAAAGGGAAAACTACCGGTTGTTCCTCCCTTCTCAATGTCATTGCAACCTCCCAACTCAACCTTTCGAGCGGCCCCCAAACCACGGGAACCGGGGGGGAGGGCTTCTGGGTGAAAAAATCCGAGACAGAATTCCTACGTCCTTGTATCGATTCTGTTGCTCACTTGGAGATCTTCCAGCCATCAGAATTGTACGTTCCTGCGTTTTGCCGATATCCTTACAGTGCAGTTATCCTCGCACCCGTTTCTCACGGGCTGCAGATGTACTTGTACGACTATGATGCTTGTGCTAGTACGGTACGATATACTTTACCCCATATAAACCCCCAACCCCAGTACGAGTACCGTACTAGTACAACAGCTCCAGGCCGCTGTAGTGGTTCGTCTCGTACAGGCCCCTTAAACTTAAACCTTCCCTTTGTGGTCGCCATGCTCGATATCCGCGCAGATAGAGGGATCAACCATAATGATAATAATGACGATGATAAGTAAAGCGCATATGCCAGCCATGTTATCAGTAAGGACCCAGCCATAAATATATATATATAGATATGTACACCGGTATACACCCCATGAGGCAGCGAGCGAGAAAACCCGTATACAGTGCCTGTGTGATGATACAATATCCATGAAACTGAGGAAGGCTTCTCGAAACAGTTTGCCCTCGGACTTGTTTTATAAAACTCGAGGACGCGTGGAAACATTTTGTGCATAAAATTCACAGGAAAATGGAGGAGTTTGTACAATACCCTGCAGTTTGACCCACTTTTGGTTCTGTCGAGAACCCCCCCTCCCCCAAGAGGTTTTTTTTTAATCAGCCTCAGAGCACCTTACCCGAGGGAAAGGTGCTTGAACACCGTGCTTGACAATTCATAAAGTTATTCGGATGTTCATGTTCATGTCACCAGGATGTCCCGATTTACGCCTAAATGCGCCAAGGTAGCCGGATACAAGTACTTTGTGAATTGCCAAGTGGATAAATCGTAATTGTAAACTCCTTTGGCTGTGGCTCTCATTGGCTGCTGGGTAATTAACATTGTCTTGCCAAGGCCGAGTCTTAAGGTCACTTCCCTTTTGGTATCATAGATCAAAAATTATAGAAAAAAGTGTGATTTAACGACGGGCCAAAATGTTCTAAGCTTTGGCGGAGCCAATCTTCAGAAGTGGGTAGCCTTATGGCCATGACGGGTGAAATCGCCGCTTCAATTTCTCCTTCCGATACTTGGACCCGTGGAATATTCAAAACACCATTCCCTTTTGAGAAACCCTGCCGCTCCCTTCCAGAAAGAAACACCTGCATGCTCCTCTCCTCCCCTTTCCTTTCTTTTCACCCCTTTCCTCCCTCCAATAACACCCGACCTTACGAAAGAAGTAAAAAACAAGAAAAAGAAAAAGAAAACAACACAGTAAAGAAAGTTTTCTGTCCAGAACTTTCAGAAATGCTCTCTTATCCATTTCGGGAATGTCCAACTTTTGGTGGGATCTCGTATCAGTGTCTACCAATCACAAGCATGACTGAGTGCCTTCGCTAACGCTTCTAGAGCCTTTCTATCCTCCCCATCGAAAGCTGAGGGGACTGTGGAGTCGATATCAATGACCGCCACAACCTGGACACTCCCTGTTAGCAAATCCTTTCCGAGATTCAAGGGTTGACAAGACGCATGCTAAACCAGACCCCACGTGGATCTACTGGATGTCACCTCGGACGATGTTACAATGGCTTTTGAGGGGGTTCTATCTTGCCTTTACCCCAACCTTGATGGGTACCACAATCTCACTCTTGGTTTCCCCGTCACAAGCAACGTGGCCTGGAAAGCTGTGAACATCCTGCGTTGAGGAAAGAATATTAAGCCCCAATCAGTATCACAACTGCGACAATGGACCTAATCTGGCAAACCTGAACCAGTAGCGTTTCACCGCTATCTGCAGCCTCCCCGCAAACTCCCCGACCAAATTCGATTGTCTGGCACGCAACCTAGAACCATGTACGATTGGCGTTAGCATCAAGAGATCTGGGATTCCTGGTAGACGACATTCAGAGAAACAATGCTATCCAACAACAATGACCAAAGTAAGAGAGGATGACGAGATAGGTCCGCCACAAATGAGCCATGGGAATGAGCCATGGGTTCACCGGGCATGAACCGTTTCGAAACGCGTTTTCCCCGGGGTAACCAGCTGATGGGTGCTTCCAACATTTTTTTTTATCATAATGAACAAGGAGAGTCCCAACCGGACATGAATCTACATACCTTTCCCATAAAGGGTCCCAGTATCAACTGTTTCGAAATTGTTGGATCGAGAACGTAGAAACCTTCGAGAATACCAGTTAGGCTTCCATCTAATTTCCCAATTTAGAAAAAAGAGAGAAATTGTTCGGCATAGGCGGTTCGGGTAGCCGGATAGTGCTCGGGGGGTGGGAGGAACACAACCACCGCCACCACACAGGCCCTTTTTCATGCTTACCTGCCCAATTGATATGATTGGAGGGTTCGGGCATTGACTTCAAAGCATGCCAGAGAAGTGATGCCGTGTTCGCAAGGTTGCTTTCGGCCTTGTTAGCAGTCACGCTATCACACCGGTAAAATCGCATGCCGAAAAGAAATTTCTTGCGGGAATGGATGGTATGAGCGAAGTTGGGGGGATTCAATTGGCAGAGATGCTTACCAGACCTGTCAAAGAAGTCAGATTACCGAGGCCATTTAGTTCACGTAAGCAGGAGGCTTTGTATGTGGTGTATATATATGAGTGTCGTACCCAGTTCCTTTGGCCCTCTAGAAGCGCTTCTGTCGATTCAATGACTTGTTTCCAGGCTTCCGTCTTCCTCATGCCCCCTGCGAAGTTCACAGCGTCAGCGTGAACCTGTACTCGGGTAATCAGTTTGGTCGTCCTTGTGATGGGTTAGGGACCGGTACAGGTACTGTACCATCTTGAATTGGCGTGCTGAAGCGTACTCGAGTAATGGATGATATTGTAGAGTTAGAATAAACAGATGTGAATGTGGGGTGGTCTTCTCTGGGTTGACAGGTTTGTGTTTTCCATAGCCCCTTCCCGCGTGATATAAGTCAAGTATGGCACAATACTGCAAGTACCGGTAATACTAGGGGGTTTCAAAGTTAAAAAGGTAGAAAAAAACTTAGCTTACTTTGTTGTTTCATGTACACTTGGCGCACCCAGAAGCAGTTAATTTACCATTACCGGTACTTTACCTTACCATACTTGTACAATACCGGTACCGGTACTATTTTTACTGGTATCATAGAGATGGAGGTCAGGAGGTCGGTAACAGCTATCTATACAGGTCTGTTTTACTGAACCTTACCAAGATCCAGGGAGAATACATGAAGTACGGATAAAGTTAAAAAATGTTGCTAAGATATTTCCAATGACTCTAGAAATAATTATCTTTATTCTGTGGTAGAAATTTCTTGATGGTGACTTCTTATTGATAAAACAGGCTTTGCACAATGCTTGTAGGTACCACCTCAACCCCAACACTTTTTCCTTTGATTACCTTGGTGCATTCAAATATGCTACCCCAAACATGAGGACATGATTGGCTAACATTATAATGACATTGTAATCTAATGAAACTTCTCGCTTTTACTCGTTACTGAGAAATCATCTTTTTAACTTTGAAGACTCCTACTGTAGATTCTTGGGAACGCAAGTCTTCTGAGAATGTGACAGACACCCTTTACAGAACAATACAATACTCGTAGTTGTTTTATGTTATGTGGAAACCTGAGTAGGTAAATTTCTCTCGCTATAATACCAGTACTTTACAGCATGGAGTTCAAATAATAATAGGACCATCAAAAATTTTATTGAAAAATTTCTCGGCTTGAAGCAAAGCGGCCCTCTTGTTATACTTTTGCCCAGGGTTTCCGAACTTTGCCTGAACAGCGAAGTCTATATCGTTACCACCACCACCAACAAATTAGCTTCCTAGTTATTGTCGCGATTCAGAATCAATGTTGGGTAAACTCACCATGAGGGGCACCCGGGTAGACATGAATATCGCTGCCAGAGGGGGCGCCCTGCATGATCCAGTTCTTGAACACATCGATTGAATCCTTGGGAAGTAATTCATCCTCGCTCCCCAGTGCTAAACAAATCGGCTTCTGGACGGCATAAAGTTCCTGAGGAAAAGAAAGTTTCACTGATGATGTTAAAGCCAATCAGCCAAGTTCTCAAGTAACCAGCACGCCATGCTAAGCGAGAGAAGTTTTTCCCCCTCTTTTTTTTTTTAAGAAAAAAACAAAACAAGAAACAACGGAAAGGTATCAGCTCACAAGGAGAGGCAGCATAAATTGCTTCGACAAAGAAGATCTGGCCAGAATCGGGCGCAGGATGGCTATTGCTCGCCAGCAACATCGCCTGTCTTGCTCCCCAGGAATAGCCTGCGGCGAAGATTCTGCTATCGGTACTCTTCGTATACAAGACTTGGAAAAAATTCTGAATAATGGCTGCAGATTTGGAATCTCTGTGGCGAAAGCGCCAGAGCTTCAATGCGATGGACGCCCTCCTAGAAAGAAAAAAGAAAGAAGCCGTTATGAATAGGACGAATTAAAGAAAGAAAAAAGAACCCATTTGGGAAATTGCTCTACGGTAACTTGTGCTGAAATTGTTCACTTACAATTTGAGATGCAAGGGCAGCGGAACAGATCCCTCTGTCGACATGCAATCGTTATACTTCAAGGGAAAAGAATCACCTGACTCGACCCGTTAGAAGTTGAAGTTATATCAGAAGGCAAAGTCAGGACGAACCATTCATAAAGTCAGGAAGAAAAACAGTAGCGCCAGTCCTGTCACCAATCTCATCGGCGATAAGGCGGGTATTGGTGAACCGCCAACCGAAAGCGTCGGGAATGATCACGATGATAGCCTTGTGGCTACCATTGTAGACATAAGTGTCAAGACCGTGAATGACAGTCTCAATCCCCCTGACGATCTGCGCCGATTTACCTATTATCACTAGCTGTTAGCAAGGCGGCTGCATTTTTTATCTCATCCAAAAGCGGTAGCCATACGATCGGGAACGGGTCCCGCAGGCGCAATTTGCTCAATGGAGTCTGGATCAGACATCGTATGGATTTTTGGTTGACGATAAAAAGAGGTTGATGATCTCGGCCGTGTTTATTATAGCAGAGTTGTCTCGTTTATGGAGGCGAGATGAGGAGGAAGGATGCCACGTGAGGATGCCAGATATGATAGGAAAAGCTCCCCCCCAGTGCAAGCCGTTTCGGGTATGGGGCTTTTCTCTCTCTATTCCCATCTATCATACTTTGTCTGCCCGGATCACGATATCCTTATTCGGGTTGCTCTTTATCGGGTTAGGGTGGTCTGGCTGGTTCGCACGCCAAACTTTCGGGTTGACCCTGATTGTGAGGGGTTGTATAATGAAACTCTATTTTTCCTTGCAGTGGCATATCTAGTTGGCGCTGGGACACAATAATAAAGTTGTAATACTAACATTAAAACTACAATTCTTGACATTCTATCATGGGTGACTAGACACGCTTCTTAGGCCTGAGTGGATTCACTGGGCTCATGTTCTCCGGGTACGGCAGGTCAGGAAGTGGATATCAATCATACAAGTGAGAGCGCACACAACGGGTCAGTGGTTTCCGGCTTTTGTGCACCTCCCACAGCGCTGCTTACCATGACCACCTGTTTCCCCAATCCCCCGGAGGCCAAAAAAAAAATCCAGTTTTGTGTGACTCGCCGACGTCTGTGTTGAGTGATGGCTGGTGATGTGCTTGGAGGTCACCTGATTCAATGGAGATTTGTTAGCCAGAGCGGGGAACAGAAAAAAAGCTCTTAAGAAGAACAATGATAAATTTTGTGCTAATGGAATTATCATCACCTTTTACTCCTTCTCTTTTCGCTGTGTCTCCCTTCGGCCCTGGCCTGACTGGTGAATTTTTTTGGGGGGGAGGGTTGAATCGGCAATTGCAGGCAGGTAGGGTAAATGTTAGGTGTCGAGTGATGCGCTGTGAAACACATAATTACGGGTATTTCTGTACGAGTACTGGGGCAATTGGGAGTGTAAACCAAATTTTCCCAACGTTAAATGCCATTATTCTGCTTATTCCTTCTGTATAAAGATCCTAAATCGTGTAGAGAACACATTTACAGAGTGGATTTCATTCCGGAGGAGTGGTTCTTTCTGTAACAGCTCTTAAAAGTTGAGGTAAAATTTGGGTGGAGCTGGGGTTGAAACAAGGGTCTTGCTGAGTAATAGACCAATATATTTCCTAAAACGGTAAGGTCAAATACTACATTAGGACTAGTGCGGAGCCTTTTGATGGCACTGAGGGTCGATTCTAAGGAGCCGGCACCGTACTGTACTCGAGTACTCGAGTACAATACTTGTAGAGTCGCTTAGACAGGGTGCGCTTGATGGATGTAGACCATTGTGTGCAGTACTTCTGCCGGATAATGGGGTGCGGAAGAATAGACTGAACAGAAGAACCAAACCCAATTGAGATGATAGGAACGATGTCTACCTTATTCTGCTGTCCGGAGGTGGCTTGTTCTTTCCCCCCTTGTAGCTATTCGAGTAAGAATAAGAAGGTTACGTCCGTGGTGTCCAAAAAGTACAGTGCGCCAGGCTGTTATAATATATATAATAAATAAACATGAAATTTTAATGGGTGGAAGACCCTGGGACAATCCAATGAGCCCACACCTTCTCCACACCTATACCCGTGGTTGATGGCCCTGCAACCACAAACATTATCTCAAGAAAGAAAACTTAACTATTAAGGGGGGAATGTGGGAGAATATTTCATGTTTTTTTTTTTGCAATAATGTTTGTGGTTGCGGAGCCTATCGAATTTGAAAATTGAATCTCTGGTGCACCCTTTGGACCGCTAAAACCATATCATACATGTTCTATGCGGTTAGCTTCATGAACACTGACCCTAGTCCATGCTCTGACTCAAGATACTTATCGATAAGACTCCCCTACCCCTCGCTCCCAATAGCAACAACAGCAGAAGAAGAAGAAAAAAACAATAGTGGGGAGAAAGATTAACGATATCATCAGATTCTAATGTCTGTAAGTACTCGTACAATTAAACATCCCGCCACAAAGTTGACATTCGTCCAACGCATCGCAGAACCCTTCAAGCGACGAAATGTCCCGTCTCTTCCTCCCGCCAATAAACCGCGCTATGCGAACACTCGATCCATCATTCTTTCAAAAGACCATCCCACTGACGGCAGCGCATGTTCTGGATGGGAGGAACATACCCAGGGTTACGAAGGAGTGTGCGAGGGATTTGTTGCGGGTCCCACGCCTGCGGAGTGTGATTACGCAGAAGGATGACGCGGGGATGGAGAGAAAGTTGCTGCTGCTGAGGCCTGAGGTTAAACACGATGGTAGGTGAGCTGGCTGTCCCCTTCACGGGTGCGAAGGTGCGAAGGAGGAGAAGCTCTGTCTGACTTGGTTTAGATTTGTCCACCGCCCAGCCGAAGACGAGGGAATTTGTGGAGGAGAGGATTATTAAGTTGGAGCCGTACACTCTGCACATGAAATATGAGAGCTGGAATTATGGTATATGGTACCTCGCACGGGAGTTTTTTGTGATTTTTGGGTTCACCGACTTTTCTAACACCCCTAAATAGAAGAAATAATGAACGCGATTCTCCCAGAAGACCTCGAAGAGATTCCCTGCGCTTTCACGCAGGCCGGGCACCTCGCGCACCTAAACCTTCGTGAACAATACCTCCCCTACAAACACCTGATAGCCACCGTTCTCCTGGACAAGAACCCGAATGTATCCACCGTGGTGAACAAGATTGAGGACGTGGGTACAGGCTCGGTATACAGAACTTTCCCCATGGAGCTCCTCGCTGGCCAGGATAATACGAACGTGGAGGTCCGGGAATCTGGCTGCGTGTTCAGGTTTGACTTTGCCAAGGTTTACTGGAACAGTAGGCTCGGGAATGAGCACGAGAGGATATTCAAGAAATTCAAGCCTGGGGAGGCGGTAGCGGATGTGATGGCCGGCGTGGGACCGTTCGCTATCCCGGCAGCGAAGCAGAGAGTCTTCGTCTATGCGAACGACTTGAATCCAGAGAGCTACAAGAGTCTAGTAGGCAATATTCACGTCAATAAGGTAATTCCCATTGACCAACCCTTCCCCCATTATCTAGAATATAAACTCAATGCTATGAAAAAGGTCTCCCAATTCCTAACTCCCCACAACCTCGACGGCGCAAACTTCATCCGCGAATCCATCCGCACCCTCCTCTCCCGCTCCCGGAACCCTTCAACAAGCAAGGTCTCCATTCCAACGCCCGGAAAGCGCGGCCAGAAGCGTCCTCCCCCTCCGACGGTGATCCCGGTACCGCCCACGTTTTCCCACTTCGTGATGAACCTCCCCGCTTCCGCTACCACGTTCCTGGGTGCTTTCCGCGGAGCGTATCGTGGTCTTGAGGATGTAGTCACGGGTCAGGAGATGTTACCGATAATCCACGTCTACACATTTCATAAGTCGTCGGTGACGGAGAATGCTGCGGGGGACATATGCGCGGATATAAGCAGACATCTGGGGCGCGAGATGGGGGAGGGTGATTTGGAGAATTTAGAGAACGTTAGGCTCGTGTCGCCTAACAAGACTTATTATTGTGTTTCTTTTAGGCTACCAGCTAATGTTGCGTTTGAAGACGCTCAAGTAGCTTAGAGGGTGGTCCCTTTTCCTCTCTCTTTCTCGTTTGACTGAGGTTCGGTTTGTTTGTGTATGGTCTGTATATCTTTACTTTGTAAAAGGATAGAAAGATACACTTGGGCTACGTTTACTGGTGGCTATAGGGGACGCATTCAATATGGGTATTGGGTCGCTTGAATGTGGCGGGAAGAGTGTGGCCAATATTTTGGTCTTGATTTTGTGACAGGTTACAGCTGTTCCTGGGGAAAGATTGGGGGTCGGGCGGAGTATACCCAGGATTACGTCTGCTCCTTTGTTCATTAGATAGACACAACCTTCCTCGATCAGAGTAACAAGTATTGGTTCAAGGTTTTTTTTTTTTGACCCCCCAAACTATGGAACACAAAAGAACAGAAAAGGAAAGAGAAAAGAACGGCTAAGCAGCAGCAATATCCTTCTTGAGAGTACCCAAGAATTGATGCTTCTCCTCCTTGGTCTGGTATTGACCGTGACCGAATTTGGATGACGTATCGATCCACTTAAGTTCTACCTTCTCGAGTGACCTTCTTGAAGTGTGGATGAACATTGACTTCCTCAAGGTCATTACCCGCTTCTTTACACCGGGAACAGAACCCTTCACCATAACAAAATCGTTTTTAATTTCACCGTAACGAGGGAATCCACCGAGAGGAGTCTGAAGCAATTGTGTTAATTTAATCTTGCCAGGAATCATGAAAAACGGTGACTGTGACATACGATAGTCTTCTTGGTAATATCGAACTCAGTTGATGCGTTACCCTCGTCAGTACCGGAGCCAATGCGGTAGATCTTGTGGTTGACAGAGGTGCGATGGTGGTAACCGTCTTGACCAGCACGAGCAACGGTCTATTGGTTACGGTTAGCTCATATCCCTTACCGCTGGTCTAATATTGTGAGGGTACGTACCCATTGTACGTGCGATGGATGCCAGGCACCAATACAAGCAACCTTTCTCAAACCCTTGTGGGTCTTTCTTGGTAGCTTCTTAGTCCCCCATCTGGAAGTGACACCATTAAAACCGTGACCCTTGGTGACAGCAATAACATCGATCATCTCGTCCTGCTCGAAGATTGAGCTGATGGTAACCTCCTTCTCGAAGTGGCTGAAGGCAAAGTCGACCTTGTCGGTAATCGAGCCGCCATTGACTTGAATCTCCATCAAGTGGGTCTTCTTCTGTTTTAGGGGGGTCTTGCGGATCTGAGAGTGAGCAAGAACACGAACAACAGTGCAGTACTTCTTGATGCGCCCCAACTCGTGAGAAATGGCCTTTCCTTCACCGGCGTGTCTCTTGGCATACTTGGTGAAAGCCTTCTTCTTGGACTTGTACCAGTTCTTGTAGAAGCGACGCTTGAGATCGTCACTGAGATGCTCAGCCCAAACGGTAGTAAGAGATCGGAGACCGCGGGGGGTCTCAACGTATCCAACAACACCAACAATGACCATCTACGACCATTTCCGTTAGGGTTGATCTTTGCCTTCTCCCAATGATAGTGCGCCATGGAAAAAAAAACATACCGGTGGTGTCTCGATAACAGTGACAGCTTCGACGACCTCCTTTTTGTGCATCTTCGCGCCTGGCCTGTCCAAGTCACGAACTATAGTGGTCATGCCGGCCTTGTACCCGAGAGCGGCGGTAAGGTGAACGGGCTTCTTGGTGTCATCTTTGGGGAAGGACTGTATTCGAGGAACTCTGTCAAAATGTCCTACTAAGAAACCCAGGTCATATTCTCACCTTAACCTTTCCTCTATGTCTAGAAGCTCGCTTCCTGGGAAGGAAAGCGAGGGAACCGTGTCTGGGCGCTTCCTAAACTACTTTCAGCACCGTTCCCCCCCATTAAAATATTTCATATTCAAAGTTTTTGATAGACATACAAATTTTCTCTAGGGTATAGTTAGCAGCAATTCGGGACCAACAAATTCAATCGCAGATGGAGCGAAATAATTGCTTACATGAGACATCTCGACTTATCCTGGTGAAAATGGTGTAGCTGGTGGTGGGTTGTCGGTTGTTTGGCGTTGAATATCTAGAGTTCGAAAATTGGGGGAAGGGAGGGTTGTTGTGTGGGTGCGTGGGAACTATCAGCCACAGGCTTTGCAAAGGCAAGCAGTCACGATTCACCGCCACAACTAACTCCAACCACACCAAACCCTAAACGTATTGATAAAGTTAACCTGAAAGTACGGGTATCATCTCGCTCTTAGCAATTTTTTTCCGCGACTGGCGTAAACACAGGGCCTATTTGGATGTCTAGAGATTGAAATTGAAACGGAGATTTTATTTTAGTGACCTTTAGAAAAAATATTGGTGGACAGTTTGGCGAAAAGAAGGCTTAAAGCTGGATGTGTTGCATGCAACTTGAATTCGGGCGAATGCTGTGGAGTTGCACTAGTAGCTCGCTTCGGGATTGTCGAGCGCCGTGCCCCAACTATGCGGAAGATACTCAGTACGATACCGGTATTCATAGAAAATTGGCAGAGGCTTTGAACCCATGGTTGAAAAATGCTTATGCAAGTATCATATTTCGAGTTGAAGTATCTTGATGTGCGTCTAACGCCTTTTCAGCGTACAAATCATACTCGAGTGCCCTAAAGATGCTTTTAAAACTCCGGAGCTGAATTTCTCTTGCCGTTATTACAAGTATGATATCTTTGCACATTTGAGGTCCCACACACTAAACTCGGACTCGAATGCTCTGGTGCGGCATCGCACTCCGTGCCGGAAACTTGTACTGTACGAGTACTCGAGCAGTATGATAGCACGATATCACAATGCGCACGATTCATTATCGCGCAGGTGTGTCAAATCACAGGCCGGGGCTGCCTCTTGATCGTCTCTATCTGAGAATTGGAGAAAGTCTAATCATTCCCAACACTTGAATTCGTCGTCCGGGAGCACCAATTAAGGTTTCGCTGGCCTAGAATCAGTTGTGTCGGACGCTTACTGGTAAACTCCTTTGTGATCGGGATCACAGGGGATCAGAGGATGCAATGTTTGTGGGTAAGCTCCACCTTGCTTTGGAGTAGCACGTCTTGTTGACACTGCATTGAAATACCGTAATCGATTTTCAGTACTGAGCTCGGAACAGAGGTTTCCGGAGTGTTGATCCAACAAATATTCCCCCACTGCGGCTACCATCACCATGTAAATGGCGGAAAATTTAATGAGCTCTCCAATGACTCGGACCTCCCAATACCTCCCGCAAATCCACCAATAAAACCTGCTTGGACTTATTGTAAGAGCCTACGGCAGCCCCTAGTTCAATAGGAAGCAGTGCAAACAAGTCCATTAAGTATGGACGCCTGCATAAAGGGGGGTTATTTCGAATGAACACTGTATCCTAACACTGCAACTTCAGCTCCCGGCATCTTATTGTAGGCGACCAGACAGGCCAATGTGACTTCACTTCTGGTATAAACTGTCGACTCAAATTTCACCGTCGAGGTTTGGAGGATCGGTGGTGACCAGGCATGCCCTAAACATTTGATGGTAACTAAAGCCCGAACATGCGGTAGGTAGGAGGGGGTCTGTTTACAGTTGGTCTACCGATAGTATCGCCCTTGCAGACGTGCAAATTATCTACTTGGTTTCTCAAGATATTGTACGACTTTCATTGTTTTTATAGCTATCATTGGGTTGGTAGAAGGAAAGTGTCGTTTACATCCCGAAAGGCTGACTTTCTTTCAAGTCCGCGACAAGCCCTTCTACGTTACTCATGAATTCGCCCAGCATCCTTTGCTTTTCCTCTGTAGTTTTTTCTGCCCGAGCTTCCTTTCTCGAAGATGATCTCTCACTCTGTCCTCGTGGAAGAGGTGCGGAAGGTGAGGGAACTTCGGGCATAAGATAGAAGTAGAGAAATTCTAGAATCTTGAGTTTAACTTCTCGAGGAGTGTCGCGGCGTTTGAAGAGTGATGTGACAGTAGCGAGGCCATCTAGTGATTCGAAAGTCTGGTTTCTGGGAGATTAGACCCGTTGGAAGCCAGTTTAATGGATTATGAGGGAATTATATTACTCTTGTATTGGTGGGGTTGTCAAGGAGACCGCAAACCAGTGTTAGCAGAGTAGCGCATTGGACGGCATCATTACTTTCAGCATCTAGAAGATCTAAAAGCACCTGCAAAGAACCGTTAGAGCCGGATAGCATAGAATTGGCATAATGATAGTACTAACATTCATGTGGATTTCTCGAGCAAAAAGTTTGCGAGACTGAGGATGAAGCAAAAGCATTCCTTGGATCAAGTCTAATGTAGAAAGGATCAAAAGGTTGTTCTGGCCGTCTAGATTTGTGTTAGCATACCGGTGCCAAATAAGTTTCTGGAAATCATACTATTCGTTCTTCCTAGGAGGCGCTCCAAACATGATATTAATCGAATGGTTACTAGATTCACCAAAATAATTAGCGTTATCCTCGGCTTAACAACACGCGAAGTCAACCTACCGTTCAATTCGAAGCCGCTCTGTAGTCGCAAGAACTCTTTGAAAGCGGCATCCTTTGGCCTGCTGGTCACACCCACAACAGAGGAATTAGCAGCGCCAGCTGTTCTAGCACCACCCTTTGATGGAGTTGGAGGGACCTGAAGACACATTTTTGCAAGAAATCCTTCAAGGCATCGTAGGCCTTTCCGAATGTGAATCGGATCATAGGAGGAGAGCAAGTCGAACGAGGTGGAAAGTAGATCTTCCATGATTTGGTGATGACCCCCCGAGTTGCTAGAAACCACTGTACAAATTAATTTAGGGATTGTTTGAATGGGGAGTTGGAGGGAGTTTGTGGAGGGGCGGCTGTAGGAAGAGGGAGCTCTCTCTTGCTGAAAGTACAGAGCCGAGACGTCAACAAACGCCAAGACCTACTGAGGATCATGAGGGTTTCCCTGGCAACAGCACTGCGCATCAAAACTACCTGTACAATCATGCTCTGCCTTTGCCGATATAGATTGATTAGATAACAGTTCCATCAAAGCTTGTCTCGACCACATCAATATGAGTTTCGCGGTGCTCAACTTGGCTGAAGTGGAAAAGAGAACTCGTATCAACACCAGTATCGGAATCGGAGCTTCGCCACGCTTAGCAGAATAATGAAGATTTACGTTAAAGTCGTTGCTGGGATGCTGCTCGTACTCGTTAAGGGGGGTCTTGGCCTGATTCGTGGGCGTTTGCCCTTCCCTGCTCTTATTTCGGGATAGGAAGCAATTATACTAGTCCCCATTTACGCACTTCATGTGGATAGAAATTTGAACGTATCATATGCAAGATCGAGAGAGGCAGATTTTCCATCGTGTATCACCAGCCTGTTTTATCTTCTAGGCCTGTTTAATTTTCTCTTTTTACACTTACTCAGTACCTGGCACTGACAAATCCAGGTGTAACTATTTAGCAAAGTTCCAAGAACGATATCCGGGACACAAATTTTCCCCATCCTCTCTCAAGAGAGCCCGCCTCACTCCGTTACAGATCCACCATAGATTGGGCTCCTAACCTTGACACGGTGGAAGCTGTTGCATTTTGAGTTAGAGAGAGGAACAAGTTGTTACGCTGGGCTGCATTATTATTCTCATGGAAGAAGTCACCGCGATCCTAAACTACCTCTCAATGGCCGACTCTATCCCTGGTTAGCTGGCCTGCCAACACAGCCCTCACTTGTCGCTCTCCGCATGCCGTTGGGCAGTTGGTTGCAGTTTTCCGATACCGCCTAGCGTGGGAACAAGATTGTATGATCGGGAGGCCTGACAGGCCCTGAAAGGTGGAACATTCAAGGCAGAAGGAGATGCCTTGATAGGAGTGGAGAAGCCTCGCCATTTCTCGTCCTCATATTTATCACTTATCGTACGGAGGTGCATTTTAAGGAAGGTTTCTTACCAATTGACCGGAGAGTGTCATGCGAGTGATACTGAATGACGCGGGTTCTGTATGAGGGCCCTGAGCAGAGCTCTGAGAAGGGTTAGTGGAAGGTATGCCCGGGAGGACAGCTCGTCAACATGCATACTTGTTAGTGGTCTGATCCCCGTATTGTGGATTGTCGAAGGATGATCGTGAGCATCTTACAAGGTAATCTTCAAGGGTGTAAAAGGTTGATAAACTTGTAATCACCCCTGTCAAAGAAAGAGAAATCGACTTTTGTATAGAGCATCTATTTAGAGATGAGAACGGAGTCAAACTCGACATGCGTTGTGAGGGATGGACCCTCGACTGGCGGTCCGGGGGTGGGGGACATGACGCGCGCAGCGCGCAGCTGATTCGTCCTCGGCTTGTTCCTCCAATAGCGAAGGCGGATCACAAAGTTAGCTCCGAGAATTTAAGTGCGTGGGACTAGGGTCTATAAGCCGACAAGATTATCTAAACTTGGCTGCGCACGAAATATTCAGGAGCTGTCTCTAGCTATCTAAATTACACTGGTCTAAAAGTGACGTTATAAAGGTTATAGAATGTCCCCAAGCTGCTCTTTGTAGTCTCGAAAGCCCTCGGTATCACCAAAGCAGCAGCTTGAGCGATATCTCTTCTTTACAGAGAACTTTCCCTCACCGAGCCAGTCATTCGAATGGAGCTTCATAGCAACGATACCGAGCAGCAATTTCTTTCCAATTCAGAAGTTATTCGATCCTCCCCCACTGAGCAGAGTTTCCAGATCGAATTGGGTGAACTATTTGGTACTTCTAATGGAAACTCTGGTGAAGTGAGATTACTGTGCTTTGATCTCTTGAACCCCCGTTTCTAATAACAGATAGACTATATCGGACCAGTCAGAAATTAAAACGCAAACATCCGTCAGCAGCAAACCTGGGAGCGGAAATGACACCGGTGGGCCTCCTGGAGACGCTGGCCCCAGCTCCCCGGACCGAGAACAGCTAGTATCGGGTACACCTAAACCCAAGGATCGCATTTGGGCTTGTTGCGGTGGGGACCAGACTTGTTGTCCCTCAAACGGTGTCTGGCTTGTGGATAACACCCCTGCCTGTATGGATTGCGAGCATAGGGCGTGTTCCAGGTGTGAAAAGAGGGTCATGGAGTAAAGGTGAGGCGGCGAGACAGGCAGGGGTTCTGGGCCTGAGAGTTTTTCCTTTTTGTTGTGTTGCCCTTTTTTGTTCGCGCTCTACGCTTTTGAGTTTATTATATTCTATCACAGTGCTTGTGTTTTTGTTGAGTTATAACTTAAGAGCGGGCCTCTTCTAGTTTCGTGTAGGCTGTTTTTTTCAAGCTTTCTACGTCTACTACAATCAAATCATTATGTCGAGTTCCAGGTGCTTTGTTTGCTATGAGAGATCGTGTTTGCTCGTTCGTGCGGTCAATGTGCATGCCGATAAACTTGGTCGTGTGGTTTGGTTTGAGCAGTTAGGTATGCAGGATCTGTCCCTGAGCTCCTGGGGTGGGGTTAGAAATTGTCTGTGAATGCTCTCTCTGATTCTGCGCGTGGGTGCAAGTGTGCCTACTTGATGAGTCTCGCCCCCCAAAGTTAGAAAGCATACTTGAGATCACCCAATGCGCGCCAAACTCTCCCTATACGCTAGATACTAGGCGATGGGCCCCAACCTTGGTATGTCCATGATATGAGCGACGAGGATAGGGAGATCGAGATAGCTCAATATCCCCATTTAGTTCTGATTTTGGGGCAAGTTTTGGGACCGTAGATTGTGGTAAACCGTAGTTATCGCATCCCACCCCTGTTTCTATGATAGAGTTGGCCGAGAGAAGTGTTTTTCTGTTTCAACCGTGCTTTGGTGCCTGATTTCTGGGTGGTCTCACTTGTCTGTGGGTTGGGAAAATGCGATTTAGGCGCTGAGGGGTTGAAAGCACAGCGTAGAATAGTGCGCACAGTAGTATGGAGTGTAGTGTGCACTGCCTAGAAGAAACGGCAACGGGCTTGTGTCCTCACTAGAACTGGTTCTGTACATATACTGCGCGTGAGGACGCATGGCTGCCTTGAGATCGTCAAAGCAGTATGATACGTGCTGATAACATGCGTCAGAGCGCTATTTGTGGTGGTAGCGGTGTTGAAGAAAAGGATGTGGCCTTCTGTAGCGATAAATTCTCTGGACCTAGTCTACAAATGGGGGGCCCGCTCTCAACTGGTATGTATGAGATCGTGGAGATGGCACATGTGTGGTGCAATCCAAAATAACAGGTTACTGGTCTATCGAGTTTCTTCGATTTCCGCCTATCCCCCTGCTGGCGAACCATTGACTGGACTCTCATTTGACCCAGATCCATGACAGTCAGACTATGAATCGTGGTCTCGGAGTCTTTCAACACACAGCGACTGGGTACCCCACAGCGAGCTACCTTGGGCTGATATTGGTAAGGAACTGTTCTCCGACCAAGGGGCAGTTGAACAGCGCACGAACAAGAGGAGCGAGAGGATATTGGTCCAATTTGGGCGCTGAAGGCATTACTGTGGAGGCTTTTCTGATCCGTGGGATACTGGGAAAGGTGTAAACTCTCCTCGCTGTAACTGAAACCCCTTATTTTATCGATTTACACCGCGGTATAATATCGAGGGCCCGTGGGAAGATGCAGGTATGTAAACGTGGAGCATAACCCTACCGGTATATCTGCCTCTTGTCATTCACCTATGGGGCATTAACATAAGATATCCCCTAGCAGACTTATCTCAAACTTAGCCGGTAGGTACCGCTCACTTGGGGTTTGCACGATCTACCATCATTTCACATATGGTACGGACTGGATACAGTAGGGTGATCGTCGGCTTTTCCTATACCACGCAAGAAGTATCATACCAGGAAACAGGAATTAAAGAAATGTGGTAAAAAATCTGTGCGTGTCTGAGCGCTAATACAGCATATACCGTACTCCCGCTGTTTTCGGGTATTTTTTGCCTGAGGAAAGTGCCGTATGGTAAGTTACTGTAGGTGCTGGAGGCAAAAAATGGTCATCGCTCGAATACCGGAAATGTGGGAATAATTGAAATCATGTTAGGGTGTTGGAGTGCCTCCTTAGCAAAGTCCGCTGTATGATAACATTATAATATTATTTTCCTTTTTACTTGCCTTGATAGAGGGCTGTAAGAGAACCATTTCGCTGTGTTTCCTCCTTTTAATCCAAGGGGGCAAATCTTGAGCGTCCTAACATCGTTCTCAAAAGTGAAAACCGCGGGTTAGTAAAGAATAATGGTATAAGCTACATTAAAGCTATTTGTGTTTAGTCGTGGATATATTTACTTTGAAGTAGTTTGTTGTATTCGCGAGGAAGTTGCCAGTGATAAATTGATAGATTTGCTCTGCGAGCACAATGGCGGTGAACAGGTTGTCTGTGGCTGAGGCTTGGCGCTCCATCAGTGAACTTGGCGAAGGGTGTGTTGGCACCGTACTTGTATTGTATTATACAGGTTCACTGTAGCTGAAGCTTCCGGGGCTGATACTGTACTCGAGTACGAGTACTCGAGCACTGATTCCGCTAGTTCTATGGGGAGGTAGGCCATAATGTCAGGATTCATTTGCCTGAAAGCAACAATGCGGCAGTATGATACTGAATAAGTTGTTCGGGAGTCAGTGAAAGTAAGTTGCGGGGGATCGACGCCGTTACGGGTCGATTTTCCGGGTGTTTGCGGGTATGCAGCGGTTTGGGTCTCAAAATACTGGTACGGGCCTCATGGTCCAGAATTGCTCCAGTCACATGTAAACTGCTGCCGGCGCAGCCACGTGAGAGCGGAGTCGCTAAGGCTGCCCGAACCCTGCCGAGGTTCGAAAACACCCTCCGTAGCGAGATTATACTACGATATACGCGCAACATCCCCATGTTTTTTTGGAGTGTTGCCTTACGTCTCGTGTCCCTTATCCTCTGCCTGCCCCTCATTCAAACCCCCCACCACCGCTGTCCCCCATCCCCCATCCCCCATCCCCCATCCCCCATCCCCCATCCCCCATCCCCCATCCCCCATCCCCCTGCCCCCTGCCCCCTGCCCCTAATCTCTCTATTCTCCCATTCATCCTATCATACAGCCTCTTCTCCATCATCATAAATCCTATTTCCCTTGTCAATAAATCCCTATTTCTAATGACCCCAGAGCCTTCCACCACCAGCCGGCATCGTCACTCGCCCACATTAAAACCTCTTAAACCACGGGTCGATTCGGACGCTCCAGTTCAGAATGGAACACCCCAGACTCGGAGCGCTGATGTTTTGGTAGCCGCTGGATTTCAACGTCAATGGTCCGAGGAGAAAGAAAATGTACCTTATTTGTTTAAACTCTTCTCGCAAGGGATATATCTAGGTGCCGCTACTAATTACATCCTTTTTGTCTTTCGGATAGATATTACTTGGGCCTTACAACTATCTTGTCTCCCATCCAGGAAAAGATATCCGCCAGCAATCCATAACGGCCTTCAACAGCTGGCTGCAGGTTCCTGAAGTCTCTCTTCAGATAATTACCAAAGTCGTAGCTATGCTACATAATGCCTCACTTTTGTAAGAGCTTCTGAATTTGAACTGGTCCTTAACCTATTTTAACGAAACTTGATAGGGTCGACGATGTTGAAGACCGTTCTAATTTGCGACGAGGTTTCCCTGTAGCGCACAGTATATTTGGGGTAGCACAAACCATAAACTCCGCGAACTATGTGTACTTCCAGGCCTTACAGGAACTTTTGAAACTCAACAATCCATTAGTGCTCAGGATTTACACAGGTTAGCTAGCAAAGTCCCACGGCGTCCGCTTGATGCTAACCTGATGCGCTTGTTTGTCTAGAGGAACTACTGAATCTTCATCGGGGCCAGGGGATGGACCTCTTCTGGAGAGATACATTGACAACACCGACCGAGGATGACTATCTGGAGATGGTTAGCAATAGTTAGTAGATCCTTTACCCCCGTTCTTGTGTTTAGTCCATGACATGATACTAGCTCACATTCTGTAATAGAAACTGGTGGGTTATTCCGTCTGGCTGTGAAGCTCATGCAAGCCGAGAGCGCCTCGGACAAAGATTATGTTCCCTTGGTCAATATTATTGGTCTGCTTTTCCAAATCCTCGATGATTACTTAAATCTCCAATCAAATCAGGTGTCATTTCCCCATCCCCGCCAACCGCCCCAACAATCCGCTAATGCTATCAATAACAGTACACCAAGAATAAGGGATTCTGTGAGGATCTTACCGAGGGAAAATTTTCATTCCCTATAATCCACGCCATCCGCAGTGATCCATCCAACCGTCAACTGTTAAATATTTTGGGGCAGCGAACTACAGATGAGGATGTCAAAATGTACGCCGTTGCCTACATGAAAGACCAAACAGGCACCTTTGACTACACGAGGAAAGTTATCCACGATTTACACAAGAAGGCATTGGAGGCGGTTGAGGAACATGGTGGAAACCCGTTACTGGTCGCGATATTGATGAAATTGGTGGCTAGATAAGGGAACTGCTTCCTCCCTAAGGGGGGAGGGTTATTTCTGGAGTGATTTTTTTTCCCTTTTTTTCCTTTTTTTCCTTTTCTTTTTTTTTCTCTTATTTATATCGATGGGTGTAGGTCTTTCACCCCACCCGATGTTATATCAGGTTTATTTTTTCTTTGGGGTTTAGGTCTTTTCTTGGGCATCGGGAAGGCTAGTTTGGGTTTGTTACGAATGTCATTGTTTCAAGGGCAGCATTTCTTTCTCTTGCATTGGGGTTCTTGACATTTGCAAAAGCTTATGTATTTAGCTCTGGGATCGTGTTGTGTCATTGCTTTTTTACGTGGGCTAGTTTTAATGTAGCTCCCATCGTGCACCCGCTCATGAGTAGAGACCATAGACAATCTAAAGCTACATATCATATTCAGAGTTTTGATACGATACCTAAATCTATTCGGAGCTCGCACGTAACCCATTCGGAGCCGGTAGTACCGAAAAGAGGCTGATGTGAGGTTAGGGATTGCACCAAGCCCTAGGCTCCTCCCAACCTCTTTCAGGACAAACGTCACCAAAGTCGTGGAAAATCTTATTTCAACGTCCTCTACCATGACTACCCTCTCGCACACTGTCAATAATACAAATACCCAATCATCTTTGCTTGGCCATATTACAAAGCGCGCCAATTTCCTAACTAAATAACCTTTTCATATGCTCACCACACGAACCAGCAGCGGGGCGGGCAGGGAAACCATACCACCGATATGATAGATACCACGTCAATGGCTCGCGGATGGGCTTGCACAGATCATAATATATACGAAGTGCTATGGGGCAATGTCGCAGACAGGACAATGCCATGTGCGGCAAGTTTGGTAGCGGCCAACAAGAGCAAACCCCGTCAACTTACTAATACATTTTAGTTTACTTAGCAGATGCGACATTGCCCTGTCGAGAACATTATCCTGTTACGCTGTACAACCGCTCATGAAAGAAACATGCGTCATGAGTGGGGCGAAAGATGAGCAAAGTGAAGAGAGAAAAAAAGGACCCCCAAGGTAAACCCAAACCCGAAAATGGACATGGAGCTAATAAAACAGAAGAGCACCAGACATGGAGAGTAAAGAAAAGAATAGGAAAAAATGGGAAAAAAGGAAAAAGAGACCCAAGCCGCACACTGTATTTGGATAACTAAGCATAACCCCTAGCTAGCCACCAAAACACCGGAATAGAAACAAGCGGAGATGGGGATAGAGCAAAGCCCAAGCAAACTTCGACTCTGACAAGGGGAGAGGTAAAGCTCTCCTCCCTCCCAAGATTGCTAGAGAGAGAGAAAGCGCAAAAAATACTTAATTAGCAAAGTGAAAGATCCATCTATCCTCGCTCACAACTTTCACATATTCTCATCATAATATAAAGCTTCGAAGCTTCTGATTTTAAGATATGGGGAAAACCGAGAAGAAATGCAAAGAAAATAAAATAAAAAGTGAACCTAACAAGTACTGTGATGGTTTCCCCCACCCCGCTCCCACCTATTCTCCACCCTTACCGGAAGTCTGAGCCAACTGCTTCTGAGCAGCTAGTGCGGCCATCTTGTGATGATATCCAGGGGCTGGATGGAATTTTCTGACAGTGCGGATCTCGTCGGCCGCGTAGCCGGGAATGCGAATATTCCAGTTGCGCTCAAGAATTATTTGAACGTCCTTGAGATCCAGGGTGTCAGAGCCGCGAAGTTTAGCCATTTTGCAGGCTGAGGTAGCGATCGAATCGATGAACTCGTCGACGAGTTCGAGAATAGCCTGGGTCGATTTAGTTAGTACAGGATGTCTGCAGCACATGGCATAGCAGAGCAAACATTGGGCACCGCGGCGGGAAATTCTGAAATGCCAAATCCCGAAGCATATGGCAAACTTTCCAGTGAGATTTAAAGATAACATACCTCTTCAACATCAGGATCCAATCTCTCCTCCGGATCGATCTGCTTGACAAGCTCTTCCAACTTTCTCTTGCTCAACAAGCCCATGCCACCCTCATCAAACTCAAATGCAGGCTGCTTAGTAATAGCGGGAGTACTCATCATCTGATTGCCGGAACTATTCATACCACCACTTAAAGTTGGTCTGGCAGCAGGGACGGCGATAGGTTGCGGAGCAGCGAGCGCAAGGTTTGGGGGGATGTGAAAAGTGTGCTGTTGAGAAGTATCACGGGTAGTCTGAGAGGGGTGAGCGCTGGTTGTAGGCGATGCAGCTGACGCAGACGATGCTGGTTGGATACGGTGTGCTTGCTGTGCTTGCGGTTGCTGTTGAGCAACAGGTGTTCCCGTAGCCGTGGGTGGACGGGCTGCCGGTTGCACAGAGCCGGGGCGAGGGGCGGGCGAGTTAGGCTGAGCCATTGGGGTTCCGGGCGGCCCGGTTGGTCCCGGTGCTGGGGACCGCCCTGCAGCAGCCCCGGGTTGCTGGACTTGTTGATGGAGGCCACGCTGGGCCGCGGTAGACACTTGCTGTGTGGCCTGCTGTGGGGGTTGCTGTGTAACAGCTTGTTGCTGGGTCGTTGAGGTCTGACCCATTACTTGCTGCGGTTGTTGTTGCATTGGGGGTTGTTGTTGAGCTGCAGGAGACATTGTTTGTCGACCGACAGAAACACGATTCTGGTTTATTCCAGCAACGTTATTGCTAGGGCCCGGCGGAGAATCTGCTCGTTGTATAGGGGTTGCAATTCTTTGCGCAGGGGTACTTTGATGTTGCTGTTGTTGCGTCTGCGGCTGCGTATGTGGTTGCGTATGTTGCTGCATTTGGTTTGGCTGTTGGGCGGGCTGCTGGTGTAAATTCGGTGGGTTTCCTTGGGTATTATTGGGGTTTGTTTGCTGTTGTGGAGCTCCAACGTTTATCATTCCCTGTTGCCCTTGCTGTATATCCGGAACCATGCCTTGAGGGGCGGGTTTCTGCATTTGCCCACCCCCAACCATCGAAACTTGACCTTGTTGCTGGCTAGCCCTCATCCGCTGCTGTTGTTGCTGCTGCTGTTGTTGTTGGAGCATCTTCTGTTGGGCGGTGAATTTATTGAGAACATCCCTCCATCCATTGAAATTTTGGGTCACTTCAGTAATCTTCTGTTGGATTCCTACTTGCTCATCGGGCGTTAGGTTTGGTCGCTGGAGGCTTTGGTGTAGAGCAGTAATCTGTGCTTTTGCCTGGGTCATCTTTTGTCCAACTTGCGATAGCTTGCCGTAAATTTCTGCCCGCCAAGCATCCGCATTTTGCGGGGCAACCCCCGCTGGGACTATCCACGTTTGTCTTTGAGATATTGACGGCGCCGCCGGAGCCCCAGAAGTAACAGGTCCAGCACCAACGACACTTCCGACACTTGTTCCCCCACTGATCATCGTCCCATTGCCACCCGCAATACCTGCCAAAGAACTTCCAGCTGGTGTGCTGTAGTTCTGCTGCTGCTGCGTCTGCTGCTGTTGAACTTGTTGCTGTTGAGCTTGCTGCTGTTGCTGTGCCTCTCGCTGTTTCTGCTGTGCTTGCTGCTGCCGCAGTGATATCTTAAGGCGATTGACGATTTGGTCATATTGGACCTGCGCCGCCTGGCCTTCGGTGGTACCAAGCCCGCTTTTCTCCACAAGGCTTCTCAACCGATCCAGACCAGTCATATACTTCGTCTTTTGTTCATCACTCATAGATGGCTGTAGACTAACAAGATGCTGCAGCGCTTGGCGGGGTAACAGATTGCTGGGAGGGCCGGCCGACATTGTTCCGCCTTCGATTTTAACTTGCTTTGATGGTGGTGAGTTCTCGAGGTTAAGGTCAACTGGCTTACGTTTCCTTTCGCTTCCGTCAACGGTAGACATCCACGGGGCGTAAATAGCGCTCTAACTCCTAGTATGTAGCTTCTCCCGCCGCGTGGAGATCCGGTTGATTGCTGCTTGAGTTCTTGAAAAGGGTTGTTTGGATGAGGGCTTGAGTACGAAGTCGCGACTTACGCGCAGGGTCGCACATTTTTGAGATGTCGTCAAACGCTTACCTTAGCAAAACCAAAACGCACTTGGCCAGCATAGAATAAAATACAGCAACATAAAATAATGTCCGACTTTTGCTCCAAGCACTGCTCTCTGAGAATCTAAATTCATAGAAGTGAATTTAAGACGTTTTTAGAGAAAATCTATGGATTTGTTATATTTCGTCAAACTCCCACCAAAAATAACAAGACCTCTATTCACAAACCCTACTGTTTTCGAGGCAAAAAGGTTCCACATTTCTCAATCCCTCAGACAGCAACAAAACTTCTATATCCCCGCTATTTCCAAACAACACTAAGGCTACGATGGACCCATTCTCGTCCGAAGGGGGTACGCTATAGAATACACTCAACTTTAATTGCACTCCGCTAACATCAACGTATCGTAGAGCTCCTGACCATCCACAACGCCTTTCATGGAGGACAATATTCGGCCGTGATTAACCATGATACCTCAGGCTTATCGGCAGAAAATAGTATTCCATCAACAGTTTACAAGCTACGTTCCCAGATTGCTATTGGTCAGGCAGAAGAGGTAGCAATCGAGCTTGAGGGACAAGATAACCCGGATCTAGCTGTTCTGAAGGCATTTGCAGAATACAGCCAGGGGAGCACAGAGAACGCTGTGAAAATAGTCGAATCGCTCGTGGGATCGTCTTCAGATAACGCTACCGTCCAAATTATCGGAGCTACGATATTGCATGCGGAGGGAAGAAGCGAGGAGGCTCTCACCCTACTTAGCAGGCATCAGGGAAGTTTAGAAGCGTATATATCACCCTGAGTCAACATTGCTTCACTTTATACTCTCTTCCTGCTGATTATCTTTTATCTCATAGTGTAGCCTTGGTTGTGCAAATCCGTCTTTCGCAAAACCGGACAGACCTTGCGCTTAAGGAAGTGTTGAATGCTAAACGATGGGCACAGGACAGTTTGCTGGTCAATCTTGCTGAATCATGGGTTGGCCTACGTATTGTAAGTTTATCTCTAGGCGGTGAAACCATCAGGTTTCCTCCCCCCATCTCTTCTGCTCTTCAGTTTTGCGGCAATGTTATACAATTTGCTCATTATCTCACCTGCACGTGGACTTCTATATCGAGACTCTGAAATGCACATAGCAAGATATTATGGTTAACAAGTAACTCATGGATTTCAGGGTGGTGAGAAATATCAGCAGGCGTATTATGTCTATGAGGAACTGGCTCAAACCCCTTCCACCTCTGCACCGCGCACCCTAATCGGCCAGGCTGTTGCTGAACTCCATCTCGGGAGATTACCGGAAGCAGAGGTTGCCTTGCAGCAAGCCCTTGAAAAGAACCCGAAACATGAAGACGCCCTTGCAAACATGATTGTTCTCTCAATCCTCGCCGGGAAAGAAATTGACGAATATCTCAGGTGAGCCCTCTACTGTATTCTGTCTCTTTGATCTTTGGTCCGAAATTGTTGGGGTTGGCGATATTTCGGGAATGTCGCCGGGGCAGTATCATGGTTGCTGATTCGCCTATTATTCAGCTCATTGCAAAACACGGCGCCAAGCCATCCCTTCCTAACTGATGTCGCTCAGAAGAGCGAATTGTTTGATAAGTCTGCGGCAAAATATAGGGCCAAAGCATGAGTTTGAGGTGGTGTTTGATCTCTTAAAAAAATTATCCCGAAATATCATAATCAAATGCCCCACGGCTTTCCCATGGGGCGGTCTTATCTCTCTCTCCTCGCCTCGCCTTACCGGTATTTAAGCATCTTGATAGAAAAATATGGGCATATAATAATAACCCAATCCAGCGCCCACCGGAAACTATCATTATACCCCGATGTTTCAAAAGGGCAGAACTTTTTGACTGTAGTACCCGTACCCGCACCCCCACCCAAGTGCCCAGATACTGGTGTAATGAGCCGGTACTCCCGTGTTCAGCTTCCCCTCCGGTGCAAGTAAATATTATCCCTACAGGTACTGGTATCACGGTCGGGATCCTTGTTCAGGATAGAAAGGAGTGGGAAAAAATCCTGAATGAAAAATAATGAAGCGGAAATCAGGCATGGAAGAAACATGACTCTGTGCCAGGAGTCATGGGGCCAGAAGACACATATATGGCCTTAAGCGCTCAAGCGCAGTACCCCACCGCATCTGAGGAGAAATTGTATGGTCGTCACTCGCCAATTCTATGTCTCCGCTATCCAATCGAACAAACATATCGTGACATGGAATAGAATATGATTGTGCGATATGGCACTCTCACGTACACTCTCCTGTGCCCTGTGTGCTCATACAAGAGAATATCCCAAAGAATGCCAAATGACGATGAAAATAATTGGAAAGTTACAAAGTACCTTATTACGAAAAAGATTCCCCATAGTCCCGTATGCACACATTTCCATGCCCCTTGAGTTTGAAGTTTTGACGAGCAGTTTGGCTGGGGTATCTTCCAAGAGCATGAGATATGGTTCGGTTTCGCGTGGCTTGACGTTACAGATCATAATATTATAATACCAGCCCGAATCCCGTACTTAGTTGACGACTCCTAATTGGCCAAGATCAGTGACATGAGGCATTGTTTGAGTGTCTTGAGGTTTCTAAGTATCACCCTAATCACAGTACAGTACAAGTACTGTACGTCGCCGTCTCAGGGGTATGATAGCGCAACCTCTAGCTCAGAAATCAATAATTTACTCAGGAGAAAAAAACCTCTCAACCTCGCATCCTTTCTCATCATTTCCTGCAACCAAAGCCACCATCACCATCATCATCACCATCATCATCATCATCATCATCACACAGTACGGCTGGCGCTGTATCTACGCGGCTAGCGAGCCACCAAAAAAAAAACCCCCCTTGGTTGTTTTGAGCGATTTTAACCATCCAGCCCGAGAGACGTTTGAAAGTGTACTGGTAGACCATGTAGGGAAGGATTGGAATCTCCATATTATACTAGTACTCGTACACCTGACACAGCCTCACAAGCGGACCAGCGCCGTATGAGTTCTCTCCCACGAGTCCCACCTTTCTTTTTCTCTCCTGCGACAAGGAAGAGACCCAAGCAACATGTTTCCAACATGACTCATCGCGGTTGATCAGCCAAAGAACATGCCTCCGCCCTGCTCGTTCCGTTGCAGAGGAGCCGGAGTGGTGTAGAAAAAGTCAGACAACCGTACCGGTAAACGAATCTATTCCTCCGCTCACCATCGGTTGCCGGCTGTTTGGCCGTTTACCAGGAACAGCTTCATTATTCGACGAGGTTTTTCCGGCGCCGGAATTCATCTGGTCTTCCTGCAGGGTGAACCTTTCATTTACAACGGTTTTTTTTCCCCTTCTTCTTTCTTTCTTTCTTTCTTGTTTCCATTCAATTTGGTTCTTCGAGGGAACGGTCCTAATTTGAGGGACGGGATTCGCTCGGTTATCGTCCCGCATAGCCTCCACGCGTGACGGTACCTTGAAGCAGAGTTATTCCATACGCAGCTGAATCGACGAGCGATTTCTTGCAGCATATTATATTGTCGATATGTAGGTAGGCGGGTTCTCGTGTAGTGATGCTCAACATGCTACAATTGTGACGAGTGGACCAGTGTGATATAGAGAAGAAATGTTTGCGATCATGCAGTAAGTTGGGCTATGGGAGAGCGCAGCTTGGGAGGGAGTTCGCTATCCACAAGCACCGCTCTCGACCATATCTGTTCGAGTACAGGTGTATTTAAAAGTTTGAAACTGCAAGGACGGAACACATATGGGGCAGCGCCCTGTGCATCGTGAAATATTTTCTTTTCACCCGTAGAGATATCGGACAAAATATATTATTTGACAATGAGACTTTCCTGGGATCTGGGCCGATTTAAGCGTTGTCGTGGTCTACTAGCATTGGGATTTGGTACTCGTAAATTTGCTTATCAACTGTTTCCAGTGCTGGGTATCTCTTAATGCCCGTCCGGCACCCTCTGGGCGATATCTCTCATTTTTCTTTTCTTTTTCCACCCGATCTAGCCTTAGGGACTGCCGTAAAAGGAGCTTGTTGAAAAGGGAAATTGATTATATCGTCATGTTGCATCCCTCACTCCCGTAATCAATCTCACTCGCTCTCACCAAAATGATTAGGCCGGTTCTCAGCTCTATGCATTTTGCCCTCTCCCACCCCACGGGTGCGTATGTATCTAGCAGCTATCGTCCGCCAGGATCAATTGGTTGGCTGGCTGGCACCCCCCGTCTATCACCCGGGATTGAAGCTTTACCGATTTAGGAGGGGGTGCCTGGGCCCATTGAAAAATCTACTCGTACATTCCCCTCTGTTCACCTAAAATCGTCAAGATTCTTTGGAATTGGGAAATTTATAAAGCCTCCCCGTCCCTCCTTTTTTTCCAGCTTCATTCTAGGGCATACCTTTCAACTCGTGCCGTACGAAGTTTCGTTGATTTCTTTTCGTGAACTTGCCATCTGCCACTACCTAACACTTACGACTACTCCATTCCACCCCTCACTTTGGCATTCGTAACTCTCCCTCTCTCACCTCTCATCTCTCATTTATCCCCCCTTCTCTATCCCCCCCAATCCGCAATCATGGCTCCGGCGGTGGTGAATATCCAACCCATCAATGCCCCCGAGCTCGGGAAGGCCAAACATCATACTGGCGAAATCAAGGTCCAGGACCTCAGAGTGCCGGTGAAGACCCTGGATAGCACTACCAACTCTGATGACGTTCTCGGGTCGAAGCGAGACATCATTATCTTCTCGGGTAAGTTTGGAGTAAAAAAGAAACAGTTTGCTGTTGTATTTTGGGATCCTATATTGACAAATAGCCAGATTTCGACGGAACCATTTTCATGCAAGACACTGGTCATATCTTGTTCGATGCCCACGGGTGCGGTCCCAAACGAAGACAAGAGCTCGACGAGGAGATCAAAAACGGTGTAAGATCATTCCGTGATGTTTCGGAAGAGATGTGGGGAAGTTTGAATGTTCCCTTCGATGATGGATTTGAGATCATGAAAACCTCGCTCGAGATCGACCCCGCCTTCCATGACTTCCATAACTTCTGTATCAAGAATAACATTCCTTTCAATGTCATCTCCGCTGGTCTGAAGCCAATTCTTCGCCGTGTTTTGGACGACTTCTTGGGAAAAAAGCAGGTTAGAACACCCAACTGCTCATTGGTTGGAAAAAGCAATACTTGGTGTTTCAGGCTAACCTAATTTCGGATCTCTAGTCAAAATTCATCGACATTATTGCCAACGATGCCACAATCACCCCCGATGGCACACAATGGAAGCCAGTCTGGCGTCACGACACCGCTCTAGGCCATGACAAGGCTGCTTCAATTCAAGAATACCGCACGATTGCCTCCTCTGAGAGTGAGGACGGTTCATGCCCATTGATTGTCTTCGTCGGAGACGGTGTTTCAGATCTCGCAGCTGCCCGTGAGGCTGATGTCCTCTTCGCCAGAGCTGGATTAAGACTTGAAGAATACTGCAGGGAAAACAAAATCCCCTATATCCCATTTGATACCTTTGCCGATATCAAAAAGGAAATAATCAGGATCACAAAGGAGGATCAGAACAAGACTCAAGGATATGGAAAGCCGCCTAATTATAACGTATGCTTGATTATCCGACATCGGAATGTCACCTGATGCTAATTTGTGTCCTACCACAGCCCCGCGCAAACTTCTGGAGAAAAGCCGTCAAGCCGAAAACGGTATGTATCCCACTGCCACTCCACGCCTCTTCACCTTGAGCCATCCTTTAAAAACGTCTTGCTGGTTCCCAGTTCTAACGTACGAACCTAGGTTCCTCGATTCGTGCGAAATGCCACAAAAGGGGACAAGATGCACCTCTGGCCTGATTCTTTCACTGTCAAAAGCGAAACCCAGAAAGAGAACGAGCCTTCTACCTTATCGAACCCTGAGCCCACTCTAGAACTGAAATCCGAGTAAGATGTAATAGAAGAACTAGCGCAAAATTATTAGGCAACAGATCCGCACGTTTAGCACCTGTTAGCTTATGACTTGCAATATTTATTTTTTTCGAGCTTCGAGATCTCTATATTTTCTTGCTTTTGGTCTGGGGATAATTTTTACGGGCTAGAGGGATTTTTAAGGTTTACGAAAACCGGAAGCCCAAAGGGCAGAACGTCCAAATATACATTCCGGCAACGTTCATTTCTATGGGATCGGTTACATGTTTTCTCGTTTCCGTTTTTTTCTGGCTCAGAATGGCGCAAAGGCCTTCACGTTTAATACTCATTTCCCACTATAATGCACAATAATAGGAGCTCGTGTTGACCACATGTCCCTGCCGTATTGACATGATATGAGTATTTGCCTAAATCTTATCAGAGGATTCCGCCAGGGGCGGCGGCTTTCCAACAACTCGCCACATTGCCGAGACATCTAGTGATGGAGTAACCAGTGGCCAGTGGCCAGTGACCGGATACAATAAGTCCATCGGGCCCCCCAAAAATCCCATAGACTTATCTGATAAATTAGGACAAGTGTTCTTTAAAAATTGACAGGTGAAAAAAGGTCAGAACGTGTGACGATCGTCAACGTACCCGTGCGGGGTTCCCAACAACGCCGTAGACTACAGGTAAGTCCTCCTCAGCACTGCTTTCAATTACGACGGAGGCGGCGCCAGTCTAGCCGTGTACCGGAGCTTCTTGAAAGCGCCCCCCCACCCTTTCTTCCGTTTGCTTATCTGCTAGGGCCACGAATACCGTATTTTTGGGGCAGATCACCTCAAGGAAAGTTCAAGAGTCAACAAAGAGGTGATAGTGGGGGGTGACTACTCAAACAAGAACTGCATATTGTACTCCCACCCAGTCCGGCAACTTCAAGCTGACGCCCATAAAAGGGGCCAACCCCAACCCAAGCCTTGGTGGGCTGGTCTTCTCCTTGCATCGCACCCACCCAGTAAAGTACGAGTACAGTATGGTACTTCCCAGCCGGCGCTCTATCTAAGAATGGGTGTAAAGTATGATTATCAATTTAGAGCGCGGCTTCGAAACCGCCCCCCCTCCTCCAAACCCGGATTACGGATGCCAGGGGAATCAATTGGATTGGACGAACGGATGAGCGGTGGTGGTGTTGATCACGATAAGAAATCTAACATAGACTATCCGCCCTGGAGCATGCAGTAGAGGCGGGGTTCAGCCACGATGATTGGGGATGTGGCTCTACCGGTCGAATTCGAAACGCATGCCGTCGAAACAGATTCCGGTACCGTACAGCATGATGGGCGATCGAGGCTGATTTTGTGGGTCTTTGGCTCTCTCCCTCCGTGGACGTAGTTCCAAGCATTTTAACGTGGGGGTGAGGTTGGGGGGGGGCCATTTAAGGTTGTTATTGGTTGGTCATGTGATGTCACTCGGTATTCGATCCGGCGGGGAGGTGGTGATGGGTGTGGCGGTTTGATGAGCAATGATGCTAAATCTTGGGGGCTCGTTGTTCGCCGCAAAAGCGCAGCGGGTGGAGGGGGTTGGAAGGCTCGAAGGGAAGAATATTATTCGGTAAAATGTTGGTCATTGATGGTCACTCGCTTTGGATTATTTGTTGGAGCTTTTTCGTGGCGAGTCCCGTTTAACGTTGGGTCGTGGGGGGGGGGATCTGAGCTTTCCACCTTTTCCCTATCGAACCTCAAACCCCCTGAAACACTGTCGTTATCTCCCGCATACGGCATGCAGTGGGCACTTTTGAACCAAATCTCGCGCAGGGCTGCTGCGCACTCGGGTGTATGATGGTTATAAAGACACTTCACGCATTTCCCGTGCTCGTCAAGTACCCTGCCGCATGCTTTACCCGGACGGAAGCGGAGATGTTCTATGGTATGATATCGTCCCTTGCAATATTTACATCCCATGAATCTCATGGCTCTCGGATAACAATCGGGTACAAGTCACTTGCCACGACAACAAAAACGTCCTACTCCAAGTTTCCCGGAAATCCTCGTGGACTCCTACCTATACCGGTACCGGGAATTCCCCTTACCCTCCCCTCCTCAGATTGGCAGACTGCGTTTCCGCCCAAGAAAAGAAAAAACATGCGGCCAACTCCAACATGTCGTTGTTCCGGCTTTACGGTGGCGGATCATCACAGTGCGTCACTCGGTACTGTGGCTTACTTTGCAGTGACTGTCTTGTTTTTCTGTTTTGGAAAGCGACCTTACTGGATCCATTTGGGTGTTTTTGGGTGAGGTACGAGGACTGTGGATCAAGTAAAATATATATATATATATATATTTTACCTCCTAATCATACAGAGGATTACGGTACATTAACAAGAGGGGTGCGTGTTACGCAGCTTAGGCTTCCGAGTACCCGAATGGGTCTTGGCATTCATGACTGCCGTAGACTGACTTGTGATTATGTGAGGTGGGTTGCGCAGTGTTTCTTTTTTTCTTCTGGGAATTGTCGGCGTTGGTTAGTTGGTTGGTTGGTTAGTTGGGAGGGATCCTCCGCTTACTCGAGTACGGTACTCGAGTACAATAGTGTCCGTCCAAGCGATGCTGATGGAGGGATGGTACTGTACCGTAAAATCTCTTGAAACCTAGTTGCTCCCAATCTCCGTGACTAAGCCTTGTATGATGCAGTGTAGCCTGTAAGGTTAAGCAGGGCCCCGCTCCATTTAACGAGATTTGAGAAATCCCACGACACCGCATTTGGTGCCCGCTATTTCTTCCCAAGCTAGCGCTTCGCCAGAGTGGAGATGGTGGATCCCGAAAGATTTTGCGGCACTCGGACAATCCTCTATCGATAGGCGATTGGCCAAGCTGAGCAAGTTACGAGTACATGTACGAGTACTTGTAACGAAATTACAAACACCCGTACAGTACAGGCCATACCGGCACCACGTCGGGTAGACACTGTTCCTCCTTGAAGTGTTTGCTTCTATTATAATGGCGGAGATTAGAGGACTAACGGGGATAGTGTACTGTCCGAGTAAATACGGGTGCTCGAGCACAGTAAGAAAGGAGGAGACAAATCACGTGTTTGTAGATGATAAGGGGGAGGGAGGAAAAGCATGACTGGTAGATAAAAGTACAGACCGGGAGCGGCTGGAAGTCTGATGAGAGCAGAAAAAGGTGGGTAAAACGGGGACAAAAAATGTGATAGGGTACTCGAGCACAGCATGGTCTTGCTTGCTCGTCTGCCATGTGGGATGGAGGTTTCTGGAGTACGGGTACCGTAGGAATCTGAGCTTGACATGTGGGGGGGCGGGGGGCGGGGGTTTGCACTTTTTGTAGTACCGGTAATAATAGAGAAAATTGAGCGCCGCTTCATTGTGCACCGCTCAAGTACCGTACTTGTCCATCGTACATACAGCCGCCAGTCTGCGATCGGGGATGCCCAAAGTACGGTACCGCTGTTGGTATTCGCAGTGTGAGACTGGCGCTCGCACAAAGAAGGGGGCCTGAGCTGTGTACTGTACCGGTATGATACAATTGTACTGTACTTGAGTAATCATAAATTACCGGTTTTTTTTTCTTATTTCTCATGATATTATCAGTATCGATATGGATACAATAGGAGTCCAACGCAAAGCGAGAAAAAGTGACAGAGAACACCCATGCGACCTTTATCTCTTGAAAATTTCATGCCGTCCTCTCAGCTTCTGAGACATAGACGACTAAGGAGAGTTTTGCACTCTGGCTCAGTTGTCTGTTCTTCAGCGATCATCAGTATAGGTGCGGTCAAGGCTGATATTAGTTATGGTCTGAAGTATACCAGTATACTGCGAAATTTTGGTTACTGACAAAAGTCGCGTATTAGTTAACCTCTGTCTCAAACGCCAACAGGGGCTACACGAAATTCTCAATGTCTCGCCGGTCTAGGAGAAAACTGGGATGATACTTGTAAAAGGGGTGGGATATTTCACCGTGCAGTGACTCGATCACTGGTGACGCTGCAAGAATCGTGCTGTGCAGAATTGGGAGGGGAGGGTGGGGGAGAGGGGGTAAAAAAAAAAAGATGAAGGAAAAGGCTATGCTTGCCGTGGAACATTCCCCAGAATATTATCTCTCACCAGAGTTGGAGAATCTGGAATGGTGGTGGTGGTACAAACATTATGCTCACAAATTGTGGAACCTAAATTTTGCACTGGAAATTCTCTTCTCAGCCTCTCGTGAGAATAGGGGGGGGTGAACATGTGAGTAGGAGAGAAGGAAGGAGGAGGGGGGGGGAGGCTGGTTATTTATTTATGGAATGTATAAAAAGTGACTTTTTGGTTCGTTTTCAAACAAACAACACAAGATCCTCAAGAGCAAGATCTCCTCCCCACTCTATCCCTCCCTTCTTGCTATCAGCCTCACCTGAAAAGTGGTTCCAAAAAACTGGGACATGAAGAGTGATCAGGGTGATCAGTGGTGGGGTGTGCGCAGAGATGGCTTTCTGAATTTTTCTTCTTCCTGAAGAGCAAGAATGTATTACAGTATCGGTGTTCGTAAATGCCGTAAAAGAAAGAGACATGACGCCTTGCTCCCCTTACCGCTTTGGTACCGCATTGTACCATACTGTACCGCATTATACCATACTGGGGCGAGAGTGCAATTAAAAGCAGGCAATAAAAAATAACGGTGAAAGAATCCGCTCACCCGGCAGAAGTAAAAATATGGATCTCGTCCTTTGTTCAAAAAGAACCCCTCTTCACCGTGGGTTCCAGAAGCGTCTTGACTTAATTCGGGCTGTGGCGTTGGTAGAGGGGATACCGGTATGTCCGGGGAAAATCGATGCATATAGACAGCAGAACAGAACTACCACCACGGAGAAGAGAGGCTCCGCAGGGTACAGGCATTATGTTCGTAGGTTATATTTTACAGAAAGGCGAAATTTCAAGATGCCCTTGGCCGCATCCCCGGTAATGATGACAGGCACCGGGCCAGACATAGTTTCTTGGCAACTCGAGAGCCTCAGACCTTTAAAAATCCAAATGCTTTCTGCAAATCGCGATGTTCAGGGTTAGGATTGGTGCTCGCATTTCTCAACCCAGAAGCGATTACCCACAAAGGATCACCTCCATAAGTAACTCGAAACTCTGACCTTAAGCACAAATGGACACGCGTGGGGCAGGTAAATTCGCTACAATGGGAGGGGGGATAGGGTCTGAAAACAGTCAACTCGACAGAGTGAGGGTACGGTACTGTACTGGTAGGTGGCATGGCATTGGTTTTCGAACTGTAAAACATCCATCCCATCCATCCAGCCACACAGAATTTGTCTGTGTGTATAATAATACCATCCCATAATAAGCCAATGAAGCATTCGTCTCCAAGTATCATACCGCACTCGTACATAGACTCTGGACCCAGACATCCTTTTCATGGCGTTAGGTAGTCCAAGGTTTCTCGCTCGGAGGCAGGGCGGGGGCTGTACAGTACCATTAACCCAAAATTCTTTACAATCGATCAAAAAAGTAATCAGGAGGCTATTCAGATTCAAAATTATCCCTATTCGAGTAAAATGCCATAAATAAAGAGCCAGGAGGAAGGGGAAGGGGCTTGAGCCGCTTGGCTGTGACGAACTTGAACTGCATGCTCGGGGAAAAAGAATAACGCTCTTCTCCATCCAACTCGCCCTTCATTTTCCACCCAGATAAATAAAAACGTCACTGCTCCGCATGCCGGCCTACTCTGTCCTAAAATCTACCTTTCTTGTACTCTCAGAATCTACCGGTCGCCTGCAGAACTTCTGAATATCTCCATCCCTCAATATTCATTGATTCTTTCGACTTTGTGTCGTCTGAGCGTTCAACTGTGGGCTGGCAATACACGGACACGGACCGGAACACCAACGGGCGGATAGCGAAAAGTCAGACCGAAAGACAGATTGGTGCCTTGCCTACGTGGAATTACGGACCTGCGGTACCTGACCTGGCTGCTGGTTAGCGTGTGATGGGAGAGAGGTAAAAAGGACACCTCGCGAGGTTTTTCCCCCTATCGGTGGTCCATCCTATTTCTCTTACCACCGAGACCTTCAACTTCAGCTTTCTGCTTGGCTTCAACACTCTGCATCCTCACAAAAGAGTACCTGCTGTGTTTTTCCTTTTTTGCTACCGCATTTCGGTAGACTGCCGAATCACCGTCAGCTGCTCTCTTTTCAACCCCCCACCTAATAGAAAAAAAAATAAAGAAAGAAAAAAAAAAGGTTTTCAACGCTAGACGTGTTTTCCCCTCTATAAGCAGTTGCTACTGCTGTTTGACGGGATGGTTATCATAAACCTCCCCACACGTCTCGGACGCTCCAAGACCAGTGCGTCGAAGAATAGCTCTAAAAACCCCTCGCCAATACCCAGTCGGACCGGGTCACCAAAACTCATGAACGATAGTACTCTAGTTTTGAAGGCCACGGCGGTCCAAGTGAGCTAATTCCGTGGCCGCATGGGTAACCGCAATGGAGACGTTGCTGACAATGGGGGG